TTAATTAATTTTAATGTTTTAATTGTTTTAAGAAATATTTTAATATATGGTATTTTATACTGTTTCTTAAAATGTTTTTAATGTTTTTAGGTTTTAATGTTGTACGCCGCCCAGAAGCCACTGGCAATGGTGCGGCTAAAAAATATTGTCAATAAATAAATAAATAAATAAGTGAGACTCAGGGAACCAAAGTATTAACCCATTGCAGAGAAGATGGTTATATGCAAGCACTAGGATCTCTCTGAAGTGGGGGAGATGGACATTAAAATGGCAAATGCAGTTCAGGTATATGCAAGTATTAAGTAATGTACTCTCCTGAACACGTATATTTGGATGAGGTCTGAGCAAGCACTGGCTGGCCAGTAAAGGAATCCTGAGAGACAGCTTAATGAAAACTTCAATCCACTGTGCAATTATTCCAAGTTGATAATCATAAGGAAAGGAATCAAAAATAAAGCAACAGATACCATTATGCCTTGATGCAAAACTATGGTATACTTGGAATACAGTGTGCAGGTCTGGCCATTATACCTCCCAGAGGATAAGACAGAGTAATGTAAGTGCAGAAAAGAGCAACCAAAATAATCAAGGGGCTGGAACATATTCTCAGTGAAGGAAAGTTATAAGGTTTGGGTTGTTTTAGCTTAGAAAAAAAGGGGGGGGGGATAAACGATGATGTGGCAGAGTGATCTCTATCATATGACCATGTATTTCCCCTTTTTTATACTGGCCAGCTTGAAAGGGGGTTTAGACTAACTCTTGGAAGATAAGGCTGTAGTGGGAATAGTTTGGCTACAGTGTCAAGGTGGTCTGCCTCTGGATACCACTTGCTAGGGAAACAAAAATGGGGAGTTATCCTTTTGTGCTCATGTCCTGCTTGTGGGCTTCCCACTGGGCCATTGAGCTGGGCCCTGTAGGAGCAGAATGCTGAACTAGATACACCTTTGACCTGATCCAGAAGAGTTCTTCCTGTTTCATACATTAATCTTGTCACTGTTCAAACTAATCCCAGTTCATGAGCCCCCCTACGGCCTATTTTCAGACTATAGTCTTTCACTTGCTGCTTCTTGTTTTCAGAGAAACCATTCATTGATTCCACTTATTTCACTTGTACAATTATTGTTTGTTCAAAATGCTAGAGACACATCAATAAATAAAGTCTGCTGTGGTATCTGAGGAACTGGCAATTACTTATATTTTATGTCCTCTTATTTTCAAGTGCTTCATTTTGATAGTTGGGAATAATGTTCTTAATTTCTGCATTGTCAAGTTTCTGTAAGTGGTAGTGTGCTTTTATTTTCCTTTCCTTTCTTTTTTTTCTTCTGGTTTCTGAGCACCGAGTTTAAACTGTGCTCATCAACTGAGGCATTATCCTTCTTAAGGAAGAAGCAAGCATTCTGATGTTCTGACAGTCTGAAAAATCAGTACTGTGGCTTTATGGGATTGCACTTCTGACAGTGGCTATGTGTGTGTGAAAATGACCGGGGGGGGCAGGATCTGAGCGCCTCACCCGCTTTTGTTGAGGATAGTGTATTCCCCAGGAGGCAGGCGATCCAGAGATTAAACTGAATTGTACTATATTGAGATTCAATAGTGAAAGCCTTTCTGTCTGTCCACATTGCATTAGACAAGGATGGATAGTTAATTTCCAGCTGAGCTAACCACGACAATGATGTCTGTGGATCAGTTCTGTTCCCCTAAGATCTGTGTCATTTATGTTTCCCATTGCCGCTTGCACCAACTGATAAAGTGACTTTTAAAGCTTCTTGTTTCCATAGGCACTTGTGAAGGATTCCCCTGTGCGGAGAGCTGTGAAGGACACACTTTCTAACCCACAATCTCCACAACCTTCTCCCTACAATTCTCCAAAACCGCAGCATAAATTGACCCAAAGCTTCTTGCCTCCTGGCTGGGAGATGCGAATAGCACCGAATGGCAGACCATTCTTCATTGACCATAACACAAAGACCACTACATGGGTAAGATGAATTCCAAATTCACGTGTCTCCTGGCGGTTTACTTTCTTAGCTCCATGGGGTAGGAAGTAAGTGAACGTAGGGTAACTGATTAGTTCCAGCTAAATAGATACTGAGCTACAAACTTCTTTCCCACAATTATTGAGGAGCTTGTTCTATTCCAAACTTCCCATCTATAATAGCTTTCATTTCTGTTCTAAATTTACCTCCTTGGATTTTTTTAAAATAATTACTTTCTTTCTGTGTATTCTCAAAGGCTTTCACAGCCAGGATCCGATGGTTGTTATAGGTTTTTCAGGCTGTTTGGCCGTATTCTTAAGGCTTTTCTTCCTAATGTTTCGCCAGTCTCTGTGGCCGACATTTTCAGAAGACAGGAGTCTGACTGTGCTCTCTGAAGATGCCGGCCACAGATACTGGCGAAACATTAGGAAGAAAAACCTTAAGAACATGGCCAAATAGCCCGAAAAACCTACAACAGCCATTACTTTATTTCCTTTGTTTTAGTGCCAACCTATAGCCATTGCTGTCCTTCTCTTAACAACACATCCTATAATGGTTCAGTGTTTTTGCCATTTATCTTGTAATTGTGCCTCTGTGTTGAAAATAACCAGACTCTTGTTCTTCCTTCGTTAGGAACAATAATTGTTCTTTCATGAGGTTTTAGATTAATGTAAGACAGATGACAGGTAATCTTCTCAAGAAGTTTTAAGTTCACTCATCTGTTTTCTGACTATGGTCAGAAAACAAATACCTGCTCCATAAGGTTTCCTTTGAGGGTCATAGCATATGACTTATTTTTTTTTTCAAAGATTCTTTCAGCATTTATCAGGAGGTGCCAGAGACCTTCCTGCCAAGCAGGAAGCCTTGCCAAAGCCATCTCCAGCCTCCAGGGACTGCCCCTTCCTCATCTCATCATCAGTGCACCTATAGACAAAGAGCAAAAAAATACTTGTTTAAAAACAAGGCTCTGAAATTTTATAGTTGACACAAAGAGTGTTAGCAGCAGTTGAAGTTTGGAAAAGTTACACGTTTGGATTGCAATTTGCTAAATTCCTCAGCCACTGTGGACAGGCTTTGGGGAATATTGGAATTCTTGTCCAACAGAACCCCACAAAAAAGACAGTGGTGCCCCACATAGCGACGATAATCCATTCCGGAAAAATCGTCACTATCCGGATTCGTCGCTATGCAAAAAGAAAAAGGCCATAGGAATGCATTAAACTCCTGTGGGCTTAAAACTCACCGTTATGTGAAAATCCTCCATATGGCCGCCATTTTTGCTGCCCGGTATGCGAGGAATGGGCGCGAAAACACTGCGGGCAGCCATTTTTTCCCCGGTGGCCATTTTGGAACCGCCGATCAGCTGTTTTTAAAACATCACTATGCGAAAATTGGTAAGCGAAACAGCTTACCGATCATCGCAAAGCGATGTTTTACCATTAAAAATATCGCAATGCGATCGCTTTTGTAGTCACAAAAAATCTGTCGCTGTGCGGATTCATCGTTAACCGAGGCGCTCGTTAAGCAAGGCACCACTGTACTTGAAAGGTACAGATCAGGGGCAGGATCTGTTCTTGTTTATTCCAGGGTGTAAGACATAGGGGCAGGATCTGTTCTTGTTCATTCCAGGGTGCAAGATACACAATAATGGGCTCAAGCTACAAGAAGCCAGATTTAGGCTAAATGTCAGGAAGAAACTTCCTAACTGTCACAGCAGTATAACAATTGGAGCCAATTACCTGAGGAAGTGATGTGCACTTCAGTGCCAGAGGCATTCAAGAGAAAATTGGACAAACTTCTGTCTGATCTGCTTTGATTTGGATTTCTGCATTGAGGAGAGAGTTGGACTCGATGGCCTTACACACCCCTTTCAACTCAACTATTCTGTGATTCTGTAGTTATGTAACTATGATCAAACACTGAAGTGGGAATTTTTGGAATTACAAAAGTGTAGCATGCATAGCTGTAAGATCTGTGAAAACATCAATTTTATTCAGGAAAAGCAGCCTGCCCAGGTCTTTGCCTGGATAAAACCATTCTAGTGGATTGTGTGTGTGTGTGTGTGTGTGCGTGCGTGCGTGCGTGCGTGCGTGCGTGCGTGTGTGTGTGTGTGTGTGCACACGCACTGATTTTGCTGAACCTTACAAAGGTGAAAATACATTGTTGTGCATTTACTTGTATTTGCATGTTCAGGCGCGCACGCACACTGATTTTGCTGAACCTTATGAAGGTGAAAATACATTGTTGTGCATTTTCTTTGCATGTTCAACATGATTTCACCCCTACCTTCTTTGATAGAATATCTTCAGAGATTTATGCACAAGCAATTTATTCGTCATAGTCCATCCAGATAGTTTCTTTATTGGTTTACCTGGGGTTGTTTATTTTCCCTCAATTTAAGAACTGAATAGGCATCTTGGTGCATCTTAAGAGAAACCCCAGAGGAGCCTCCTTTAATGCTAGCACATAAGATTACTGTAGTAAAAAGAAATTAAAGGATGACTATGATGGAAAGACAAGCAGGGTTTCCCCACGTACCTAGTGGATCTGCTTATCTTCCTGTGAAGATATATCCCTAATGTTTAGCAATCTAAAATGGAATTTGAATTAATATGCTCCTGAAAGGGCTTCTACCTGTTTATGAACCTCTGTCCCCAACAAATTTGCTAAAGCCACAATGTAATACATGGCCACCGCTTGACAGCAACAGGTTGTAAGCAACAATATTACTTGCTGGAGAGTAACAAGTGGTCAACAACATTATTTTTTACAAATGGTGCAACGATTGGGATTGTCTTGCTTTCTTAAAGTGTAGTAAATAACATTCACCCATTAGTTTAAAAAGTTTTGGCAGAGTCATTTGGAAGGATTTGATGTAAGTTTTGTAGTTATATCAAAAAGTAATGACTAACGCACCACTGCAGGAAAATAGACTGCTTCCTAGTGTGGTGTAGTGGGCTTTCCACTGCCACCAACCATTCCCTCAAATAAAGCTTCAGGCCAAAGTATGATTTAAAAAAAAAAAACCTTAGGTTTATTGAATACAAACAAAAGGAATGGTAAATCACTTGAATATAAATAATACTTTAATCACTATAATAATATAACAATCACACACACACTCTCACAGACCCTCACTATGTAGCACAGTTCTTATCTCACAGTCTCTCCAAGCCCTATCTCCCTATCTCAACCCTATCTCTAAGCCCTATCTGGCCCTATCTGTAAGCCCTATCTCCATCTCTCACACCATTCACTCCCCTTATATACAACAGCTCCACCCCTTCTGTCCCACCCTCCATCACGCCATTGGTAGATGACACACAGCTTCAGCAGTGATGGGCAGGTGATGTCATAGCTGTCTGTAACAATGACTAACGCACCACTACAGGAAAATAGACTGCTTCCCAGTGTGGTGTAGTGGGCTGAGTGGCGCACTAGGACTCTGGAGAACAGGGTTCAGATCCCCATTAGGCCATGGAAACTCACTGTAGAACTGGTAAAACTATTCCTTAAATGTCTCACTTGCCTGGAAAGCCCTGTTAGAGTCACTGTGAGTTAGTTCCAACTTGACAGCACAGAAGACACATACAGGAAAATAGTATGTAAGAGCCTCCTGGCGCAGTGGTTAAACTGCTGTACTGCAGCCAAAGCTGTGCTCATGACCTGGGGTTCAATCCCCGGTAGCCAGCTCAAGGTTGACTCAGCCTTCTTTCCTTCCGAGGTCGGTAAAACGATTACCTAGCTCATGGGGTGTGTGTGCAATGTGTAGCCTGCATAATTAACTTGTAAACCGCCCAGAGAGTGCTTGAAGTGCTATGGGGCGGTATATAAGCAGCACGCTTTGCTTTGCTTGCTTTATGTGGCATCTGAGATGTTACTGTGGGGGGGAAATAACACCCGAAGCCCTAAATTCTGTGCACACTGCATGACCTCTGCCTTTCCAAAGCCTCACTCTTTAAGACATATCCCTCTATCTTTACATTCAACTTCCATCACGTGCATTACAATGAAAAACAAGGTCCTGCTGTTTGGTATCACCCATATATTTCACTGACAAGGAAAGCAGAAATAAATGGCAAGCCTGTTCCTTATTAGTCACAGTCCCTTTGATTTGACTGTGGCCAGAAGCCAACGTACAGTAGGTGCAATGGTGGAAGCGCTGCTGTTTTAAAAGGGACCACTTATCATGCACCAGTCTCCCAAATTGGTGATCAACAAGGAATACAAGCTCATTAATTAGCAGCAGTTCATTAGTTCAGTTTGCCTCATGGAACTGATGTCCGTGTAACTAACAAAAGTGGATTTGATTGTTAACTACTGAAAGTCAGGCATGAAATGTCAAATACTGAACAAAATGTGCCCCTATCAGATGAACAAGCAATAGGAAATGAATATATTCGTGAAGGCTTTCTCGGCCGGGATCTAATGGTTGTTCTGGGTTTTTCGGGCTCTTTGGACGTGTTCTGAAGGTTGTTCTTCCTGACGTTTCGCCAGTCTCTGTGGCCGGCATCTGAGACGGGCAAAACGTCAGGAAGAACAACCTTCGGAACATGGCCAAAGAGCCCAAAAAACCCAGAACAACCAATAGAAAATGAGCCAGACTGAATATTGGTCCAGTCGAGAGGGAGCTTTTATTCATTCATGTGAGTTATTGTTAAACTGTGGCCAGAATCTCAGTGGGATTTTACTCCCTGAAGTAAGTGAAAGTGCATAAGTCGTCATGGCAAACAGCAGCTAATTAACAGTCGCATCCCTCTTCATATGCCAAGTGTGCAGCCAGGCACATTACTAACATCTTAATTCACTGCAATTTGCTGCCCTGACTTATGGAATTCCACTTACTCTGGAGTAATACCCTTATAGGATTAAGGCCAGTGTTTTATACCTACTGTTTAAAATGCATAATATTTTTAAATTAGACTTTTCAAATAGTTGTGTACGTTGTTTGTCTTAAGTGACTAAAGTAATACCGCATATACATATTGGTAAAAGACTTGATATTCAAACTTTCTTTTCTGGAAGCAAAGAATGAGTGATAAAGCAACTTTGACAAGCCCTGTTAAAAGTGTAAATATGCAATCAGTTTATTAAACTCTAGTTGTAATGATCTTATGCCAGCTTGCTTGTCATTATAGGAAGATCCACGGCTGAAATTCCCCGTACACCTGAGATCAAAAGGTGCTTTAAACCCCAACGACTTGGGTCCCCTCCCTGTAAGTATCCATATTAGATTTTTGTAAAATTGCATCTTTTATGCTTGCTTCTAGTGCTAAAAAGATTCACTGTGAAAGGAAACTGGCCCCTCAGTCCTCTCTTAACAACACTGTTGAAGTGGGCAGTCACTCAGCTGCATGGCCATGAAGCTAACGCATGTCGCTGTGGTATACTCAGTGACAATGCAATATATAGGCACTAAGCCAAGGGAAGTGTAATTAAGCATTTGTCATTAGGGAATAAAGCAAATTCCATGAAGCATTATTGAGATGTGCAGATTAGTGCTTTGGGGACTATAGAGTAACTCCCAGAATTCATTGGAGTTTCAGATATTTGTACTAAGACTCTGCACCACATTTAAACAAATTACAAACTCTGAACCAACAGAAGCAAAATTTGGTTACAGAGCAAAGCCACACAAATTTATGAATCAGTTGAGATGTTGGGTACAATATGAGTCAGATGGTGTGCAGTCAAAATACACTAACCTGTACACCTCTATTTATTTTCATTCATTTATTTATTATGTATCATATGTAGGCTGTTTTTCTCCTGCTGAAGGGACCTGTAATTATCAGCCTGCAGAATTTTTGATGGCCATTTCATTATTTTCACCTTTTTTTTAATGCTTCTGCAAATCAGCTTAACATTTGGTTTCTCTTTTGCAACATGAGTGGGTACCAGGGCGGATAAAAAAAAAATCAACATTTTTTTTTTAAAATCTAATTGATTTAATTCACCATTTTTTAAAAAATCTGAGTCGTGATTTAAATTGAGATTTAAATCAGTTTGATTTAAATCAAATCCACTCTGGCGGGGAACCTTTTTAAAAAATTTGAATCGTGATTTAAATTGAGATTTATATCAGTTTGATTTAAATCAAATCCATTCTGGTGGGGAACTGAATTTTCGCATGCCAGTGACAATTTTGAATTTTGAATGCTGAAGGTGGGATTATGAAAGGCAGTCAGTTTCACTAGATTGTACTTGCAGCTAAAGGCCAGTGCAGCTTCTCATTCCAGCAGAATAAAGAGAAGACCTTGTTGCTCTCTGTGATTTGGTTTTGCTCCTATGTTCTGTTTATCAATTTGAAAAGCAGTGATGTGTTCCATGCAATCATTAGTTGCTATGTTTTAAAACGTCCTGTGGCAATTTGGGGCCCTCCAGAGGTTGCTGTGTCTGTGAGCATTGAGCATGCTGGCTGGAGCTGATGGGAGCAATCGTTCAGAACATCAGGAGGACACTTAGTGGGAAGGGACTGCTTTGGAAAGGGTCTTTAACAAGCTGCCTGATAATCATCTGGGCTGTAGGGTTAGCCTGTCCTAGCCTTGAGTCCATCAGTAATGTTGGACTACAACTCTCTTCATCCCTGAACATTGGCCATGTTTGCTAGGACATGATACGACTTTCAATCCAGAACATCAGGAGAGCACCAGGTTATTAAAAAAGGTCCCCTGCCCAGATAATGCTAACTATCACTAGCAGTACCCTCCAGCTTAAAGGCTTTTCACAGCTATCTTGGTCTGGAGATCCTTCTTAAGAAGAGATGCCACAGACTGGAACTAAGACCTAAAAATTAGAAAGTATGTCCTCTGTACCTTTCAGTGTGGCATTACAACCTATTGTGGCAGTTTATTGTTGAAAACATCTCTGTGCAGATTTAGAATCCATCTCGTTCTATAGTACTATTTTTGCTAACTTCCTACAGCCTCTCACATTGCTTCCAAAAATGTGTGTGCTTTTGTGGGACCTCCTCTGTCTCAAGCTGTGTTGAAGGTCCCAGGTTAGAACCGTAAGAGGCAAAGCTCTTTTGAACAGGAGTCTCCTTGGTTCTAGAACAAGGCCTTCGCAGTTATTATCACATATCTTTAGATACTGCTGTGAGTCTCAATAAATTCTTCTGTTATCTTCTCAGACTGTTGAGAGAAGTAGCACCTGTAGGGCTACAAGTCTTTGAAGCTTCTTTACACCAAATACTGGGTCTATCCGGGGCACTGTTAGGCTTTCAGGCAGGGGCCCTCTCCCATTCCACCAGGAAATGGCAGAGAATTTGCGCATGCAAAGTATGTACTTAAAACACTGAATTACAGCCCTTCTCCTAAATAGGAAACCTGGTGTCATCATAAGTAAGTACATTGAGTCCCATTTCAGGAAGTAAAACTAGAACTTGTATGATTCTTTTTTAGAAAGTACCATTGCCATTACTCAGTGATTTTTTTTTAAGTAACTGGCTTCCATTACCCATTACAGTTTGAAACAAACAGTGTAGTAACTCATTGCATTTCTCATCACATATCTGATTATATTTTGTACTTTGAGCCCATATAAGAGTAAAAAAAAAATGCCTAAAATGGGTGGTGATGGTCCTGGTGGAATTTTTTCCGTAGGTTCCCCCCCCCCAAAAAAAAGAGATGAATTAAAATGATGGCCAAACAAAGAGATAGGAATACTAGAATTTGTTATATTGCTCTCAAAAGGAACATGTTTACTTCCTTTTTACTCCCCAAAGTAACTCACTGCATTTAACTGGCCTGCTTCAGTTACTTGTACTTCCTGATTCCTCTTTCTTTTGCATTAGTCATTAGTGATGATGCAACAAATTCAGAAGGTAATATACAGCATATGCATAGATTATCAGGAAAACATCCCTAGAACCGTTAATTCTTCTTTTGATTAGTCCATAACACAAGGTCACGTCTTTAAAATTAAGACAATAGCTGAGAGTATGGTTCAGCATGTGCACTTTTCACACCTTTAGCAGATCTTTTTGTGTGTATCATATATTGGAGGAATGGCTTGCACCAGAGCTACCATGAATTGGAAGTATAATGGGAGGTGAATAGCTTGTAGACTGATGAGCAAACACTATCAGCTCATCCTTTTTTACACAGATTATCACTTTGTTTCTTTTTTCTATTCTGGCAGTATCTTTTTCTTATGAACATGAACTGTTGGCACTTCTTTTCTGTGGTAGCCAGTTAATAGGCAGTCATTTTTATAAATGTAGGAACTCCCAACATATATGTCAAACCTTCCTTTAGCTGCAGTTAGGATTCAGTAAATCTACTTTCTTCCTTGCTTTGGAGCAATGGCTCCCAACCTTGGGTCCCAGATGTTCTTGGACTACAACTCCCAGAAATCCTGGCCAGCACAGCTAGTGATGAAGGATTCGGGGAGTTTTAATCCAAGAACATTTGGGGATCCAAGGTTGGGAACCACTGCTCTAGAGGAATGTGTCTCCCTGTCTGCAAAATTTTGTGATTCCAAAGAATACTTCTTCCCCATCTGAAGTATGTTTTCCTTCCCTTCTGCAAGCTGAGGGTTTTGTTTCTTTAGTTATGTAATTTAAAGCACTTTAGAAGATAGAGAACTTGCACATATGCCCCATTCTCTTCATGGAGAATACAAGGAACACTCTCCTGCTCTACTATAAGCAGAGAAGTGCTACCACTGGCATGTTCTCAAAAACTCCAACTCAGAAGAGAAAAAGAATGCAGAGGAAAGGAAGGAGGAATATTCTGTTTCCCTTTATGTTGAATTTGTGGAGGAAGCAGAAGGAAGAATACATTGCTGGATGCTTTTTGTAAAACTAGATACTGTGGGATGGAAGCCATCTCTCCAGTGCAACCGTTCCACCAGCTAGGAAGAGGGAGATGAGCAGTGCATTCCCCTGGTCATTTGTAGGTGGCTGTAGCACTTCAGCAAGGTGCTGCTCACACTTTCTGCAAAGAGAGCTCAAGGGTGAGCATGCCTTCTTTCCTTGATATCTTTTCACATTTCATGGGACAAAGGGAAGGGAGAGGAGAGGACGGCAACAGAATGGCTGTGTCTAGTAAGGAGAATCCAGAGAGGAGAAACTTGCTTTTTTGGGGACATCTATGCTGGTTGTGAGCTGTAGTCCAAAAAAAAGTAACTATTCTTCTATGGACAAACCAAACATTGTGGAGCCCTGGATGCTGAAGTTTTCCCTGTTTATTAGTACTGTAGTTCTCTGGTGTATTTGGATAGATTTCCTTTCTGCAGATAGGGAGAGATGAGAATTCTCCCCTCAATGTACAAGGGCCAGTGCAAATTCCTCCTCCGCACACAAAAGACCTGTGATTTCCATTGCAAAAATACAACTTCTACAAATTTGGCCATACCACTGAACTTCTAAAACCTCAGAATAAGCAAGGAACACGTGAACCCTCTTTCACAGGAGAGCGGATGGTGTATGCCTGCGTCTTTGCCTGCTTACAAAATGTGTTTGTGCATAATACAGCAATAAATACTAATTCTGCTGCTGATGTTGTTTTTGTTGTTCTTTAATTGCAGCCTGGTTGGGAGGAAAGGATACATGTGGATGGAAGAACGTTTTATATAGATCATAGTAAGTAGGCATGCAGGCTCTACAGCAAGTAGGTGAAGGGAGGTAATCATTACGGAAGTGAAAGCTTTGTAATTTTACTCTTCATTTAGGAAGCCAGGTGTTGATATGTGGCGACATTCATACCCGAGACTTAGTGCCCTCCTACGGTACTGTATAATTCACCAAAAGCTTGCTTTTAATTCGCTCATCAAGCTTTGTCCCTATTTGATCTTGTGAAGCATTAACATTTTTTTTTCTTTGTGGTGTTTTTGTTGACCTTTTTGGATATATTTAAATTTTTTCCTTTAATTTTTTATTTGGTTTGTTTTATTTTGGTGTTGTGGATGGATCCCATGGCTTACATGCACTTATTAATAAATGAAAGCACACTGTAGGAATAGAAAATAAGATGAGAAAAAAAGCGCGATGTAGCCACAAGTCTATATACCGTATGTAGGCAGTGGAAGAAATTTTTGATAGATTCTTTCCCTCACAAAATTATTTGAAGAAGGTCATGGGTCAATGCCAGTTCTGACCTTATTTTCTATTTGTGGCATGTTATTTTGCACCCTCCTTGTTAATCTCTATCCACTTCTGTTCCTTGAAGTCCCAGTGTAAATGGTGTTTCATTGTAGACATGTCCTATTACAGCACCTCTGAACAAATGTGTGGATCTTTGTTGTGTTTTGCTGTCAAGTGGCAATCGAAACAATTGTTCTTCAGCTGGGGATGTTTGTGATTTTTTAAAAAAAAATCATAAAAACACATACCACTTATTAAACATCTCATTGAGATTTGGGACAGAGGAGAAGACACTGTTGATATTGTAAAATTAACATTTTAAAATCAGTGCACTAGTGTTGTGTTCCTTTTAATCTCCATAGAAATAACAGAGTTATATTTTAGTTGCATATATGTTTGGTTTCTGTTTGTTCTTTTCTTTAAAGCTGCCTGTGTAAACTAGATTATAGACTGTGCAAGTGCATGAATGGGTTTAAAGAAGGATCATAACTTTAAAATTTAAGGAATGGGTTTGATATACTCTCAGAAGTAGATTGGTCTGTATGAAAAATTTGAATGGAATTAACTACAAACCTTAACCCTAGAGAGCAGTTTTCCATTTATTATTGTTTTTGGAACACGAAAAAGGACTGCAGCAAAACTTTCAGGCGTCTTCACTTGTTTGTGTCAATTGCTGCACTTCATCTTTAAGCAACTCCACTTCAGCGAGGGGAAAAAAGGCTTTTATTCCAGTTTTAAAAATCTGAGTCTATATATCTTGCCACTAATTGCCAGTTTCACACTTTGTGATGTTGGGGTGGCGTCATATGCATTGATTTGGCATCAGTTTGAATGTGGTGTTTTGATTGAAGCAGCATACTGCATTGATTTGGCATCAGTTTGAATGTGGCGTTTTGATTGAAGCAGTATATAGATTTTTATTTTGTTGCCCCCATTGGTGAGTAGAGCAGGTAATAGTGAGCCTCTGCATCAGGTGACATTAAGAATGTCTTGAAACCATCATATTCCATGACATCCCAGCTGAAGCAATGCAACGAGACAGGATAATTCCAGTGGCGAGATACAACTCTCTGCTTACCTTGCTTATGGGCAAGTACCGCTTGTGTGGCCCACTTGTTCCATGTTGTGGCAGAAGAGAGAATGCTAACACAGAGACACAAGTGGCTTTGCTAGTTCTGCTGCTAAATTCGAGCCCTATTCAGTGAAGACCACTTTGTGTGGACACTAGCAGTAGCTGACTTTCCAACATGTGAAAAGAAATACAACCATATCTGTATAACACATCATTCCACTAGGACTGCAACCTCCAGAATCCCCAGCAGCCTTGGGATTCTGTAAAGTGTTATCCAGAACGACATTTCCCAAGCTCGTTATGCCATAATGCTGTTGCATTGTCCTTTGCACAGTTTCCTTCTGAGAAAACGTTATTTCATTAAAACACACATTCGTAGTCAAGAATCCATTTTGGTGTCATGCTCCACCTCAAGGCTTAAGAATTTATGACCCTACAAGATGTTGTTGGACATCATTTCCTGTTAGTCTTCCTGATGATGAAGCACGATGGCAGTAGGCGTTCCTCAACATCTGGAGATCCTTAGGATGCCCAGCCCCCTTTTAAACTCTGGTTAGGGACAACACATTTTAAAGCCATCACACGATTTTCTCCCTATTTTTTATTGTTCGCAACCAACAGATCTATATCCTTAAGAAGGCATTTGTGCTCTTTCATCATCATCATTGTTCTTGGAGACTACAATATCTTACTTAAGACTGCCACTCTGTCACTTCAAGAGTCACTCAAAAGGAGTACAAATTAAATTCCTAGATATTTGTTCTACTTCAAGAAGTTCTTCCATTGTATGTTATCTCCTATTGGTATCATAAAGAAGTTTTTAAATAGGAGTTTTGTTCAGTGGTGGAGAAAGGGAAGGTTAAATTGCGCTTGATGCTTCCCCCGTCCCCAGCCCCCATACTCCCAGGCTACCTATTTACCAGGATAACCAAATATTATCATTCTACTACTCTCAGCTCAAAAGAGTTCCAGGCGTGAGCAAAATTTATTTATTTATTTATTGAATTTATATCCTGCACCATAATGGCAACCAGGCCACTCTGGGTGGCTAACAACAATATCAGCAACAATATTAAAATGCAATAAAAATAAATTAATTCATAACCAAATAGGGTAAATTAAAACAGATGGTAATGAAGGTGGTAAAAAAGGGGGTGATGTAGAGGTTGGTGATAGGTCCTGTGTTTTTTTTCAAAAGATCCAGGGAGTCAGTGGCAGCATTTTAATTCATTACAGTGCCTCAATAGATGTGCTGGTCACAACACTAAGAGTGGTGGGATTTAGGAAAAGGCAGGCAGGCATCAGTGATGGGCTCTGCCAATGTGCTGGCAGGTCAGCCAGTGCCCATAGATCATAAAGATGGGATACAGAACTTTATATGGCCTGGAAAAAGTGTTGATTGCTGCTTCTCTCCAATAGAAGGAAAATGAATGTTCTTCAGATATTACATCCATTGAACAGGCTACTTGTCAGTTTTGTGAATTCTACTTGGGCAAACATCCTTCTTTGCTCAGAGCCTAATGGATCCAAAGACTTGTCCCTTCCCTGAACTATCCATGAAGTCATGTTGCCACCACTCCAGTTCAGTATTTGCAGTCACTTCCATTAATTACACTGGAATCTCCATTTGGCTCACTGCACGCCCCTTCTCTCTCTGGATTTGTTGAACTTTTGATCAAAGACATGGATATTTTTCAGCTGTACATTGCTTAGGAAAACAAGATGCTAGACCAATTATACACACAGTACTATACTTTTTAAAATAAAATACATCAATTGTTAATTATTGCACATGGAGCATAGGTATTTAAAAATAGATTTTCGTTGAAGAAAAAGATGGCATCTGTGTTCTATAAAGGGTAAAAAATTAAAGATTTTATGTGTAAAGACAAAACATCTTTAAAATTATGCTAAAATTTATTCTGAAACACCTTTTAACTCTTTGTACTTATTCATAAAATCACGTCTCTTGATATGTAAGGCAATCTTTCTTCACTTACCTCTCGACAACAGCAAATATACCCCCAAATTGTAATTTTCTCTATCCCCACTAAGATTGGTTGTCACTACCGAATACCTGAATAGATTTTTTTTACCGTACAGAATTGAATTTATTTCTTAACTGTTCTAATTCACCCCACTCTGTTAAATTAGTTTAGCAGGTTAATCAATTAATTAAAATTAATTCAGTAACTAAAACAGTAAGTTGGTTTAATTTCTGTTTTTAATTCCTTCTGGTTCTTATCTCATTCTCTCTTCTACCATTACATTCACACTGGTCATTTACTATCTAATGGGTAACCCTTAAGCAATATTCAAAGTAGTTTTTAAATTTATCATCCTCATACACATGCAAAGTGCCTAATCTGAGATGAACACAAATAACAAAGCCCTGGAAGGAAGTGGTTTATAATTTCATTATAGAATGAAAGTCAGTTATCAAATGCAGTATGATTCAATGGTAGTTGTAGGTGGTACTTGCATTTTCGAATTATGTTTCCAACTAAAGTATGTGGCTGGGAAGAGGGTGTTAACGGATGGGGTGTTACGTATCCCCACCCAGAAAGTGCATTTGTAAGGAGGAAGGCAAAATCTGGAAGTGGATTTTTAAATTATTACTTTAATCAAAATCTAGATACAGAGAATGATGCTACAATTTCTCTTGTTTAATTTACAGATAATAAAATTACCCAGTGGGAAGATCCAAGACTGCAGAATCCTGCTATTACTGGTCCAGTAAGTATTCCACACTGAATCTGACTTTCTAAAGACACAGGCACTGTGATTTATCTTTTAGCATCTGGAAGAGTTGGACTGCTTGCATTGAGAGACGTACCCGCTATCTACCATTGTATAGCTGCTTGATGTCCAACCACTTTTTCTTATCTTGTATCCCTTTCCAATACCAGTAATACAAGAATGAGGCTCAGGTCCATTGCTTCTCCACTGCACAGAATGAATGTTAATCTTGTTTCTCTGGCATTAGATGAGAAATAATTGATCCGACTAGGAATTGATAAATGTAAGTATCGTCTAAGAAGCTGAGCTGTGAGCTAGGAAATCCAGGGTTCTACTTCAGCTGAAAACTAAATGGCCTTCGACATGTCAGTATTCTCCAATCCTCAGCTTCCAGTTTGCTGTATGAAAATGAAAGTGCTGATCTATCTGAAAGGGAGAGGCACACAAAGCACAGGGGAACAAAAAGGGATAGGCAGATTTTCACAAGGGGTGTCTCAGTACTGAACTACCGGTACAAAATAATTACCTTGAAGACGACTGTGAGGCTGAGTTGCAGAGCCTGTGGCCAGCCTGAGCAATTTGCTGCACATCGCAGCTATATCTAGTGCCAGTGATTTAATTTTGTCATATGAAACAGAAAATTTGAATCCCATCCCGGCATTCAAAAGGCCGTTATCGTTATCATCATTATCATCATCATCCTCAAACAATTTTCATCACATCAAAATTTTGCTATCCCAGTTTGCTGAGCGAAGAAGGGCCAGCCCTGTTCCTTTCCTGTATCTATTTGAAGGCTTCGGCTCTTGTAAGGTTCGCTGGCTCCAGACCAAATATAGTGTTGGAAAAAAATAACAATCCATATTCTGAGCGATTAGCACAGGAGGCCCTCTAAGAAACAAAACATGGGCAGAAGGAGAAAGAAAAAGAGAGGATATCTATAGTTTTAACAACCAAGTTCTTAACAACAAGTCCCAGAGTCTTGTGGTTTCCCTGGATGCTTTTTCTACACTGACCAAGAAGCTACACAGGTTGGAGCATCCGTAAGAAGGGACATGGTGCCACTGTAATACAGGAGACTGGTGTATTGAGCAGTGGACAAGCCATTGCTCCTCATTTGATCATCCCACACGTATATATTTCTCAGAAAGGATAGAACTACCAAGCACAAAAGTGTCCACTTTGAGGATTCCCCCCCAAGCAATAGATAAATCACTGCTGCCTTCACATATTCAAAAAGGTACTAAGCACTTTGCAACCCTGATGTTGAAAGCCTTGCTTTAATCTGTTTTGAGTAACTAAGAAGGAAGAGCAAGGATCCCGTGAGGAAATGGTGGCCCACTAAGCAGCTTCTCCACATCCTCTGGGTGTCCAGTCTCAAAATGATCCATCTTGAGATGGTTAGGCAACCATCTCATCCTGGCAGCATCCATCTGCTGCTGACAGAATATAGATGTGTGACATATTCCCATGCCAAGCTATGAATCCAAAGGCAACCAGGAACATAAGAAGAGGGAATTAAAGGAAGACGCCTCCATGTTTTGTTTTGTTTTTTAAATGGAGGAGGAAACAGATCAGGGGAGATAAGGAGAAAATGGCAATTTTTTTTTGTTTCTACTGAACCTGGAAGAAATTGTCCAGAATAATTTTAGTCTGGCAGCTGCATTTGGCTGACTTGAATATCCCTTGCTTTTTCTTTTTATTATTTCTAATTTCTCTTCCAAGATGCTGAAGTGCAGAGTGCTGTGTTTTGGTGTGTGAACTTCCTCTCACAAAAGAGTCCCATCTGACGAGAAACTGCTTTTTCAAGCAGATGGATGCTTCCAGTTTGGTTTTGCCAAGAACCAATTTCGCTTCTGTGCTTCCTTCTGCTCTTCTGGCACTATGTCAGGCAGCGTTTCCCAAATTGAGACATTGCAGCTCATTTTCACATAACCATTCGTACTTCGGATTTTAGGAAAAAAATATTACTAGAAAATGATGCATTTCTAAGACAACAAGAAATATTGCAGTCTTATCCCCTGGTTATGTCATTGAAGCAAATGAGCACACCATGATGTGACATATCTGATGAACGATGCCAATTATTTTGCTGTTAGAAGCTGAAATGAAGAATACATTTGTACATTTATACTATATTATAATACACCTGATCTCCTGAGACCTGCAGGAAGGACCTTCACGAAATTGGAAGAATTTGTCATATGTGGGAGCACCCAGAACAATTTTTTTTGTTTTGTTTTTCTTTTCTTTTCATGGATAAATATTCCTTCAAATAATGATGCAATTCTAAACACACTTTTGAAAAAAGTAACTTGTTTACTGCAGTGGGGCTACCCATCTTGGTCTGGGAAAATTCTCCACAAACACGCACCTTTACTTTTATTATTTATTTTAGTTATTTATTCATTAGACTTATATGCCGTCTAATAAACCACGTCTTTCTTCTATGGATATCCACCCAGGCAGAAAAGTGCTAACACGTGTGAGAAAAACAGAACACAGTAATCACTTCATTTGCCCTTCCTCTAAAGTAGAGGAATCTGTGGCCCTCCAGATGTTATAGAGCTATAGCATGCAATAGCATGGCCGCTGCCATGTTGTATGATTCTGATGGGAGTTAGAGTCCATCAACATCTGGATATTCCCTACCCATCCTCTGCAGCAGAGTATTGGCCGGATTTGTTGTCTTTGTTTTTCACATCTCCATCACATACTCACCTGACATATATGCCAGCTGCACAGTTTACATCCACACACAGACCGTTTGAGACATTCAAATTTGATTTCCAAAAGGGATAAAAATGGTGCTTGTATCTAGACATTTGAAATATATTGTCCATATTTGTGGGCATCAAGGTATAGAACACGCAGCAATTTCTAGGTTTAATTCAGTGCTTATGGTAGTTTGGTATATCTGCTCTTCATGGTGAAGACTAGTGACTGTTAGAAGCTGAAATGAAGAATACATTTGTACATTTATACTATATTATAATACACCTGATCTCCTGAGACCTGCAGGAAGGACCTTCACGAAATTGGAAGAATTTGTCATATGTGGGAGCACCCAAAACAATTTTTTGTTTTGTTTTTCTTTTCTTTTCATGGATAAATATTCCTTCAAATAATGATGCAATTCTAAACACACTTTTGAAAAAAGTAACTTGTTTACTGTAGTGGGGCTACCCATCTTGGTCTGGGAAAATTCTCCACAAACACGCACCTTTACTTTTATTATTTATTTTATTTATTTATTTATTAGACTTATATGCCGTCTAATAAACCACGTCTTTCTTCTATGGATATCCACCCAGGCAGAAAAGTGCTAACACGTGTGAGGAAAAACAGAACACAGTAATCACTTCATTTGCCCTTCCTCTAAAGTAGAGGAATCTGTGGCCCTCCAGATGTTATAGAGCTATAGCATGCAATAGCATGGCCGCTGCCATGTTGTATGATTCTGATGGGAGTTAGAGTCCATCAACATCTGGATATTCCCTACCCATCCTCTGCAGCAGAGTATTGGCCGGATTTGTTGTCTTTGTTTTTCACATCTCCATCACATACTCACCTGACATATATGCCAGCTGCACAGTTTACATCCACACACAGACCGTTTGAGACATTCAAATTTGATTTCCAAAAGGGATAAAAATGGTGCTTGTATCTAGACATTTGAAATATATTGTCCATATTTGTGGGCATCAAGGTATAGAACACGCAGCAATTTCTAGGTTTAATTCAGTGCTTATGGTAGTTTGGTATATCTGCTCTTCATGGTGAAGACTAGTGATCTCCAAATGCACTACTAATGAAATTTTGTCTGTTTTTGTTACTACTTCCTAACTCAGGTGACTTGCCCTTTAATGGCATGATGTCCTGGCTAGCTGTAGTGGTTACACTGGAAACCCCTGATTTGAGTCCTCACTTAGTCCTGAAGCTCATTGGATGATCATGTATCCGGGACTGTCTCTTCCCATAATCAAACTAAAAGGATTGCCATGAAAATAACTTTGCAGGAGGGGAGAACATTTTATGTTTTTCTGAGCTCTGGAGCAAGAATAGGATAGCAGCATTGAATAACAGCAGCTGATGGTGATCATTGATAGTGATGATGAGGATAGTGATAATATAGCACTAATAGAAATGGGAGTGAAATGCAAGGAATCACTCCCAACTTATAATGGTTTGGACTGCTTGGAGGAATGAAGGTGCTGAATCCACCAGGGGCATTATGATGGAAAATAGCTTAAAAATGAAGAAAAGCAAGGTGCGTTTTTCCCATGGTTGTTTTAACATTTTGTGATAATCAGAATTATTCATTTCTTCCAGGCTGTTCCCTACTCCAGAGAATTTAAACAGAAGTATGACTATTTCAGGAAAAAGTTAAAGAAACCAGTGAGTAATTGCTTATTCTTTATTGAAAGCCAATTGTCTTGGGATAGAAAAAGGCAATCAGATACAAATAAAGATATCACGTCGTTCTTTGTAGCAACATAGTTTTTCCATACATCTCAACTGTTCTTGAATCTAGAACTGTAGTCTGGTGTCCTGATTAAGGATGTGATAACACAGAGAAATAGATCACATTTTGGCCCGCTTCTGGAGCGATCCAGTGCAGTCATTTCCCAATAATCACACAATGCATGGGGGAAAGCATTCTAGCTTGACTCCGATCCATATTCAGGTAAGGACTATTCGTTTTGGGGGCTGAGCTGGAGCAATTTGCTAGCAGACAGGAGATTGAACCCTGCAAAAGCAACCGTTTCTGGTGCAATCACGTGCACACGTTTCCAGCCATCTGATTGCAGTTTCTCCTCTGTGTGGTTCTGTTACAGCCAACCTAAGACACAGAGGTAGAGCACCAGAGGACAGCTTCCTCCCTAGGTCAGGGTGTCTAAACCCAGGACAGTCCAGGTTATTTTGACACCTGTGACAGAAAAATCCTGCACGTTTTGCTTCCTATCGGTAGGCTAACAGGACAACAACAATTGAGCAGTTTTGGCACATGTGGTTGTCTTTTAATTGCTTGTATTTGGGCACAGTACAGTAAATAAAACTCAGCCCCTGTTTATATTCTTAGCCAGAATGGTGTTTTCTCTCTTCTTAGACCAATTAATGACAGGTGCTTCTCTCCATAAAGGCCGATATACCGAACAGATTTGAGATGAAACTCCACAGAAATAACATTTTTGAAGAATCATATAGAAGAATCATGTCAGTGAAGAGACCAGATGTATTAAAAGCCAGACTCTGGATAGAATTCGAATCAGAAAAGGGCCTTGACTATGGAGGTGTGGCCAGGGAGTGGTTCTTCCTGTTGTCCAAGGAAATGTTCAACCCTTATTATGGCCTCTTTGAATATTCAGCAACGTAAGTATATAATATATGGAGTTCTTTTCTGTGCAGGTTGATTCAGTATAATCAAAGAACTGAAATGAATCCTTCACCTTTTTTACATTCCACATTTATTTTATATTATATGCCTTCTTTTATATATTTGCAATTACTTATTTCATTTTGTATCAATTTTAGGCAGCCTTTTTCTGAGGGAGGGCATGCCCCAAGGCGGCTGACAGTGTTAAAACAAGTTATACTAAAAGCACAATAATTTAGAGGTTAAATTATTAAATTAAAGAACAATTAAACATACAATAATAATAAAAAATTAATTAATTAAAAGCAGGGTTCAAGAAAGTTTTCCTACCATTCACAAAGAATTAATGAAAGGCCAACTGGTTTTACTTCATAGTTTGCAGTGAGGTACTACTGTAATAAAGCAAAGCTTTATTATTACTGTAATAGTGCTGGAGAAGCAGTCAGTGCTAAAACGATACCTGATACTCGAAAGCAAACTTTAAAACTCAATTTTGGAAGAAAGACAAGAACAATGGGTTGGGGGAATATTTGCAATTTTGTGGCAAAAGTGAGCCAGGTACGGTACCTAAGGGCAACTACCTCCTACCCACCCCTCCCAGGATGTTGCTAATTGTCCACTTAGTAAATTTACCATATTTTTCTGTGTATAAGACTATAATTTTGTCTAAAATCTTTAGGCTAAAATTTGAGGGTCGTCTTATACACGGAAGTAAGTGAGGAGAGAACAAAAGTAAGTGGAGGGGAAAGCAGGGATCAAAGTGACCCTGCAGGGCTTTGATCCCTGCTTTCCCACTTGTTAAGTCCCACTTAGATTTCTTAATTTTGGGTTAGAAAAGTGAGGGACGTCTTATAGACAGAAAAATATGGTATTCTTTAATTTTATTGTTTTTTTTAATATGGTTACAAACGGATCCTCCATTTCTTCTTGTCTTATCCTAGTTTCTGGGGAGAGAATAAGTCCCAGAAGGGGAGCTGTGCATGGACCAATGGCAAAGTAATCTAACTAGAGAAGAAATCTAGAACAGTTGATTAGCTAGTGCTACTTCAAGCTCCATTGATTGAGCAGTCCCCAAGGGTCCGTGGCTTATCATCATGTAATGCAAATGCAACCAAGAGGTCTTATGGCAATTAAAATATACAGATGATAAAGTTGAGAGAATGTATAGTATAAAATATCACAGAACTGTATGTCCCTAAGAACAAATTATTGGAATAATCAAAATACTGTCATTTAAAAGTGGGAAATCATATTCAACCAAATGAATGTTAGTTGAGGAGCATCTTAATCTGGTTATGAAATATGAGAATGTCAGGGCCAGGTGGGCCTCTATGGAAACAGTGTTCCCTTGGCCACTCCTGTGTCGTCAGGCTCTGAACCTCTCTTGGATTAAGAGGGAACGTCACAGATACTCCTCTAAATATGTGGACGGTCTTGTTCCTGGTAGCAGAAGCCAGGAGGAAATCTTTTATGTGCAATAATGTTCAGTGGGGTTGAGTTAGTGAAGGAAAGATGTCCATATTTCCAGTAAAAGAGAGGTGTCCAAGTTTCATAGCAGTGCATTCAAATGTATGTGATCCTTGCCATTGATTGTTGAAATTGCCCCAGTACAGATGTTTCCCTTTCAGCTATCGCCATTCAAATACCATCCATCTCCACCAAGCATATCCAGGCACTTCTCCATTAGCTGGTGCACTGAGAGCAGCTTAAGATGCAGTGCTGATTTAAATTATCCATAGCATCATTGCCCCATAAGGGACACCAGGTACTGGAAGGCACAAGAAAGTAGATAGTTCCTGGCAAAAACCATACAGCCTGCACAGAGATGAGATGGTTAGTCTCAAACCTAAAGTTCCCTTGCAGATCTGCGATTAAATATAATTATTTATTGTTTATTTATTTCATTTACAACATATAAATACCACCAAGTACAATTTAGCAGAACAAAAATTGGAAATAATAAAATACAAATAAGCAATACACTCAGAGCATAAAAATACATGAAATGGGACATATAAAAACATTCAAATCATTAAATCGTTTAAGATGGCGGACATGGATCAGATCGGCTAATTAGACTCAGCTGAGTTAGCAGGTATGATGTTTTCAAATGCCTGTCTAAATAGCCAGGTTTTTAGTGACTTTTTAAAATATAGCGAGCAAAGGGGCCAAGCAAATTGCAGGAGTGAATTCTTTCCAAAGCCAAGAAGCAACCGCCAAGAAGGCCCGTTTCTCTTCTTCTCCCTTCAGGGCTCTCCTGGGGTTAGCATTAGAGACGGGGATTATTCATATATGAATATTCCCCGACAGGTGCAGATAACGAAAGTCCGCCCCCTGGGGTCAAACCGACCACTCACCATTCTACCACTGCCGTGGGCTCCACGCTCCCTTCCTATCACTCCGGAGCTTGCGATGGATTAGCCACTCTTCAGCCTGGCAGAGAGGCTGGTCATCCCGCCTTCTGCCAGGAGTGGTTAATCCACTGTGAGTTAGCATCCTCAGATGGCCTGCTTGGGATGTTCTGGCTCACTTTTTCACTTGTGCTATTTTAAATCCGTTCCTCATTTGGTACATCCTCTCAGCGAGATCTTGCCATAAATGTGGAAATCCGTTTCTGTCAGTTTATAGCTGTCTTTTATGAAAGTGGCCAAAAGAAAGCCTCAGTGATCACTGTCCTTCCCTTAGATAGCATCTGTCATTCTTCTAACCCAATTCATTCAGTAGTGACTTGATGTCTAGCTTTAACAGGTTTGTTAAAACATTGATATGTTTATTTCGGGCAACACTTGGTTATACAGTGTTGCAGGACTCATAGCGCTAGGCCGCTAGCAGCTCAGTAATGTTCCGATTTCCCTTCGTAATCTCTGTGCAACAAATGAGACGAATGCCTCTGAAATGGTTAGTCAAGGAATATATTGTATATAAAGAATTTGACAGCACAAAACAGTAACAGTTCCTAAGTGTTTATTGCTTAGCATACTGATGGTGTGTCTTCTTAACACAAGTCAATCTGGCTAAAACAAAATGAGGATTCAAACCCTACCACCCCAGTATGATGTTCAAACTGGTCCGTTGAGTGGGATGTCTTGCCTTCTTAGCTCCCAGCTATGTATTGAAAGGCAGACAGGCCATAACTGGTAAATATTGTAGAGCCTAGTTCAGAGGTGAGCAAAATGCAGCACATAAGCCAACAGGAGGTCAACAAAGGCACAGTCAGAGCCCTCCCACAACCTGCCACAAGACACACATGTATTGGAAGATAGGGCTCGCAGGATTGGACCTCTGGGGCTTTCTGATGAACAGAGACTATGGAATAATCTCCAAACCCACCTACCACCACCACCTTCTTCCTTTTCTGGAGTTTAGCTTTAGTCCCTACTGTACTGCTTCTGTTTCTGGCTATGGGTTTTGTGATGATCACCCTTACTTGTCATGTGTTATTAGCACAAGTGAAACAAGAGAGAGAGGAAAAAAAACTAAAGATTAGGTCCTAAAGGCTACGAAATGCAAGATGCACAGTCTGTGACATTATCATGGAAGCTGAAAAGCAGCAGTTGCTATACTTAATAGCAGTAGCTGACAATAAGACAACCTTAATCAAATGTTGCTGTTTTGTATCTTACCTTATATCTATGTGTTTACAGTGGTGTCCCGCTTAACGATTACCCCGCTCCACGACGAAATCGCTTAACAACAAGGTTTTTGCGATCGCAATAGCGATCGCAAAACTATGTTTAGGGAAAATCTGCTTGACGATGATCGGGAACCGATTTTTCGCTTTATGACAATCAAAACAGCTGATCGTCGGGTTTTCAAAATGGCCACCCACTGTTCAAAATGGCTCCCCGCTGTATTTAGGGCGGATTCCTTGCATTACCAGGCACCAGAAAATGGCCGCCCTATGGAGGATCTTCGCTGGACACTGAGGTATTTCGCCCATTGGAACGCATTGAGCGGTTTTCAATGCGTTTCAATAGGCTTTTTACTTTCGTCAAAATGGTGCCCCGCTCTATTGAGGGCTGATTTTTTGCTTTAAAGGCACCAGAAAATGGCCGTCCTATGGAGGATTTTTGCTGGACGCTGAGGTATTTTGCCCATTAGAACACATTGAGCGGTTTTCAATGCATTTCAATGGGCTTTTTACTTTCACTTAACGACGATTTTGTTCTACAGCAATGTTGCTGGAACAGATTATCGTCTTCAAGCGAGGCACCACTGTATCTTTATCTGTGTTTTGTTGGTCACAGACATAACGTCTTCTTTTTCATGGCCTTTTAACCCCACCTTTTATCTTGGTTTTTTCCTCCATTAGACCATGCATGCGTGTTCATGCATGTTATCTCCGTGTATATATATGTACGTGTGTGTCATCTGCCTCCTCAGGATAATACTACACACATTTGATAAAGCAAGCTCTGGTCCATGAAATCTGAACATCAATGAAGTGTTACATAACTCTGTTGTTTGTTCTGTATCGACTGGCTTAATATGAGAGAAGGTATTTGAATTACTTCTGTACTTCTGGCATCAAGTGAGGATTTATTTCTTCACATATGTGCTATAGGACTATTGCAACATTTGGCAGGAAATGAATACCAGATATTCAGGATGCTAATTAACACTTTCTTTCTTTCTTTCTTTCTTTCTTTCTTTCTTTCTTTCTTTCTTTCTTTCTTTCTTTCTTTCTTTCTTGTAACAAGGGACAACTACACTCTGCAGATCAATCCCAACTCCGGTCTTTGTAACGAAGACCATTTGTCTTACTTCACCTTTATCGGACGGGTTGCTGGGCTGGCCGTGTACCACGGGAAGCTTTTAGATGGTAAGTCAAACAAGGAAGCGTGGCCATAAAAATATGTCACTATTTAAAAGCCACAGTGTGCCCAATTTATGTTCTCTTTCTCTTTAACAGTCACATTGCTCAATACCATATGTTTCCTGGAGCAAACTCCATGAGTGACATAAAATAGTTCAGAGGTGCTACAATATAATGCGTTTCTTTCCTCTAAATGTCTGAGGAAAGCAAGGAAATTGTTGAGGTGGTACTGCCTTCTGAAAAAATGGCAGCTGTGTAAAATGATATTGCCATACCAAATGAAGTTCTTATTCTGCATGTCTGCTTTTTTTAAAAAAATGTGTCATTTACTTTTGCAATATAACTGAAGATAACCTGTAGCAAATACTACCCCCGTTAACCCAAACCTTCTAGTAGATTCGAATCTTTTGTGTGTCTTTCTAGTCCAGCCTTACTGCATGGCCAATCCTTCAAGCAAGATGGTCTTGACACCCTCCTCTTATTTCCACAAAGAAGCCCTGTTCAGTCATGCTTTAATCCCAAATCAATGCTTTCAGAAACTAGCCCCACCAGCTTCCCTCATGGGTTTGCTTACAGAAGGAGAAATGTGACTGAAAAGAAGGGTCCTGCCCACATGTAGGCTCTACACCGGAGCACAAATCCAAACTTTGCAGGGTTCCATCTTGTGAGTAGTGAGCGCAGGAACTTCCTCTTGTCTTCACTCTTGCCTTCTTACATAAGCAAAGCCGTGAGAGACCAGGCAAGCTAGTTTTTCTCTTTTAGTTGTGTTGATGATTCTGGCTTACAGAACCACCAAATAAGGCTAGACAGTAGTGCTCCTTCAGCAGCATGAGATTTTTATGAAAGTAGGGTCAATCCCTGTCATCATGGAAATGAACTTACTAAATTTTAGATATAATGCATCTCCTGAGGATTCAAAGTAGCATTCTACCTATAACAACCTTGTGAGACCGGCTAGGCTGACAGAGTGACTTGTTCAAGATTGCTTGGTGAATTCCATGTCCAAGTAGAGAGTAGACTCCAGGTTTGCTCCATCTAAATACAAATATGGGCTCTATCCGTTACACTTCACTATCATATGACATTTCTGTCTCCCTTGGTAAGCTGTGTCCAACTGACAGACCGATGAAAAGACACACACACATGTGCATGATTGATCACTCCTTTGTCACAGCATTAAGGAAACGGCAACTGTTTTCTCACTGAAATTTGTTTACTCACAAATTCAAATTTGCCCATGTGGAATAACCATGTTTGGTAGCAAGCCAGCATTGTTAGGATCCTGAAGATCCTGCGATTGGCAGGTTGCACAGATTTAGCAGCTTGCCCCTCTCAGTGCCAAGTGAGATTTACGGGGCCAGGAAAACGTCATCTTACATTTTGTGCCTTGCAGCTCACAGCTTGCCTCAGAAGGTGACATTCTGGCCGTTCTTTCTAACAATAAAGAATGAGAGGCAATTTAGAATCTGGCAGCAGTTCATCTGAAACAGATGCTGATGCATCTTTTATACAGGTCGTCAACATTAGTGATGCTTATTTCTGAAGCTTTTATGTTCTTGTGCCTCGTTGTAATAGGGAATAGTCTATATTTCCAAATACAAAGCAGATAAAGACCACCCTTCTTTCTGTCTTGAGGGAAAAGCTTATTGCTTAGTGATTCTTTGTTCACCTAATACAGCCCACTCAGTGTAAAACTACTGTAGTTCCTTGCCTTCAGGAACTTTACAAACAGCAATTTCATTGAGGATTTGTAGCATGTACGTTTAAAAACCAGCTAACAGGTTAAGGACCTGCTAGCTAGTTAAATTTTAATGAGTTGAAAGCATTATATGTAGCTACTTAGGATGTTGCCATAGAATAGTGCTTGTGTAACAGAGTCAAAAATCAAATACTTTGCTTTTGGGGGGGAAACGTACTTCTAGAACTGATGTCAGTATTATGAGAGCATGGGGAGTGTAGAGACCAGTGTCAAGCATGAATCATAATGTCTTGGGTTCAAATTGCGGGAGAACCATGTAGAACATTAGGTGAACTTGGGCCCATCACTTTAGTGCAGTTGAGACATCACAGTGAACTATGATTTGCTTTGACCTTGTGTGAGGGAAAACTTAGTTTACCCACAGGTTACTCAGAGGGCATCCTCTGACCATTCAGTCACACTACTTGGTTTGTTTGTTTGGTTTTTTTTAGCCTAACTGAGTTATACCCAGGAGATCAGCACTGGGAAAAGCTTCCTGAGGCCCATGTCTTCCTTAGCACACTCTCGAGTCTCTCACTCCCAGGTGCTCAAGGAATAAGCGCACACAAGGAGGTTGTTGCTCTTAAGTGCAAACCAGCCCTGCACAGAACTTAAAGTAGCCCAAAATGCTTCAAGGTCTCTGAGCGCTCTCAGGCACTGGACACTCAGACCTTCTCACAGCTGTCTGAATAAACCACAGCATGAATAAAATTTATATTTTATTTAAAAATATCAAAGCATAAGACGAAAAGGTTCATTAGCTCAGCAGGGAGTACAAAAAAAATCATATATAGTGGCGTCCTCGCATTGTGACGTTAATTCGTTCTGCAAAAATCGCTGCAGAATGAAAACGTCGCTATGTGATATTAAAAAGCCCATAGAAACACATTAAAATGTGATTAATGCGTTCCTATGGGCTTAAAACTCACAGCTCAGCGAAGATCCTCCATAGTGCGGCCATTTTTGCTGCCTCTTAAGTGAGGAATCCGTCTCTAAACACAGCGGGTGGCCATTTTGATTACCCAGCGGCCATTTTGAAACCGCCAATCAGCTGTTTTAAAACTGTCGCTTTGCGATGCTCGCTTCCCGAAGCAGGGAACCGAGCATTGCAAAGGGAAATTCTCCCATAGGGAACATCGCAAAGCGATCGCAAAAAAATGTGTCAGAAAGCGATTTCATCGCTAAACGGAGCGATCGCTATGTGAGGCACCACTGTACACACTTGTTGGGTGAACTTGCTTTTAAGTCTTGTGGCCACTGTTGTTCAGAGTAATAGAGCTGTCTACAGTGTGCCATTCTTTACTGTATTTATGCTAAAGACTATGCTTGTTAAACATGTGTGTGGTTAAGCTCTCTGTGAGGTATCATTCTTCTGTCCCTGAATCTGGGCTCAAAGACATTCTTTCCAAGCCTCTAGGAATGGGACCAGGGCTATACAGAGAATATCATTACTCAGAAGGAATAGGAAACAAGGTACTTGCATTACACTAAGCTAAGCCAATGCCAATAACCCCACACAAAGAATTCACATAATGCGCAACAAAGATTTTGGAGAGGGTGAACATTTGTGGATACAGGGTGGCAGCATGGATGTATTTTGGCCCAGCTACTAGGAAACAAGTTTGTTTTCATTGGTCATAGTTAAGATTAACCACAGTTGTGTGTTCAGGCTTAATACTAAACTGTGGTTAATCTAAACCAGTTGTAGACATTTCCAAACCTGTAAAGGCCATGCTGAAGGAAGCGTAGCCAACAGGAGCATAAGACCATACATAGCCCATCCTCATAACTCTAGACAGGGGTTTAGTGCAGGAAAAGGCAGTGTTGGTGGGTGACCTTGGTGGGTGACACCTGCCCTTTCTTAAAATCCCCAGCACGCCAAGCTACGTACACAAACTGGGCGGGGTACAACAGCATTAAATTGTCAGTTCCAACGTCTCTTGGCGGGCATAATTGGCCGTTTAAAGGCTATCTGTGCCTGCTTTTAGCCCAAATTAGCCTCTCTCTCCTCCTTCACCACCACCCCCCCAAATCTGGAAGTAATCTTCAGGGGTAGGATTGACTATTTTGACAGTGGGAAAAAAACTTTTTCAACATGGATATGTCAAGGGACTGGGAAACAGGACCAGGTGAATCAGTAGAATGATAGGGATGAGTGGCAGACAAGATTAGAGCAATTCAGTTGCAGGGAAGCAGTGTTTCCAAACAGGATGCCTCATAAGGCTTCCTGCAATGGGTACCAAAGTCTAATAATGCCTGGGCCTCCTTCAGGGCAGCAGCTGCTCGGTCGTACAGTGATTTCCGTGAATAGGGCCATGTTATCAGTGCTAAGGATTTGGATATTTTACTCCACATCTGCTAGCAAGGGAAGTATTTAAACCTTGCTTGATAGGCTGTTACATTTTTGTCTTCCCACTTCTCAAAAATCACCTTCTTAAGTTTTAACAATATCCCGGACTTAACTATATTTCTCTTGCGAGGATCTGCCGTTTTTTAAAAATAAAAATGTTGTTACTTTGTTGGTGCCCAGGTTTCTTCATTAGACCTTTTTACAAGATGATGCTGGGGAAGCCAATAACACTGAAAGATATGGAGTCCGTGGTAAGTGAACACTGAAAAGCTTGTTAGTGGTTTCGGCTATGCACATTTCCTCTTTGGGGAAATCATTAAATGTCGGCGTTCCTGGAAGCCTCACACTTTGAGGCCAAAGGCTTGCATTGTGAGTTCTGGGACTAACAACAAAAGCTGCTTAGATTTCAGTTTTCACTTCTTCAGTGTGACTTTTTTTTTTTTTTTTTTTTGCCTACCAAGGTAGCAATTTGAAGCTCTTAATGCAATTACATTCAACAGGAAAGGAACGATTAAATGCAATTATTTTGGGTTAGACTCCCCCCCCTTTTCGGAATTGAAAATTTGACAGATGCTTGATGAAAATACAATCACGCTGAGTTTTGTCAGATAAATGTAATAAAAGATGAGGAAGATAATTGCCCTGATTAACCACACGAGATCTCTTATGTATTTTTCCCTCTGGCAAGGCATTTTGGTTTGGTGGTTAGAATACTAAGTAGTTCAGGGATTTTTATTCAAATCCCAGCCACGCACCAGCCATGAAAGTTACCAGGTGACCCTGAGCAGTCCCTGTTTCACCATCAGCCTAACTTCTGTACATTTATTATGAGGATGTACAGAAGTTAGGCTGATGGCAAAATAGTGACTGCTCAGGGTCGGGGGGGAACAATTATGCTTGCTACAGTGAAAAGCAGGACAGACATTTAAGTGGAGCTGCCCTTTTGATGGATAATCCATGCTGTATTTTCAAAGAATGATTAATTGAAAACCTTGTTGTTGCTGCAGGACAGTGAATATTACAACTCCTTGAAATGGATCCTGGAAAATGACCCTACAGAGCTAGATCTCATGTTTTGCATAGACGAAGAAAACTTTGGACAGGTATGTCAGAATCCAGTGCAATCAAATATATAACATCTTTGTTTTAAGACAGTGATCAACGATATCTCTATAATATCACAGGATAAGCTACCAAAGTACAGTGGTGCCTCGCTTAACAATGTTAATTGGTTCCCAAAAAAACATCACTATGGGAAAACATCACTAAGCGAAACACCATTTCCCATAGGAATGCATTGAAAACCGGATAATCCATTCCAATGGGAACGGATTACCGTCCTTAAGCGAAAATCGCCATAGGAAACATCGCTAAGCGAAACGCAGTTCCTACATTGGAATGCATTGAATAGGTTTCAGTGCATTTCAATGGTTTTGACAGGTCCGTTTTCGCTATTTTTAAAGTGTCTTAAAGTGTTCAAAAACTGTTTAAAATGCTTGGAATCGTTAGTGCACCTTGTAAAATCTTTGCAAACTTAATTTGGCTTTGTTCGGAGTCTTTGTTAATTTTTAGTGAATTCCCCCCCCCCATTGGAATGCATTGAACTGTAGGTTTGACAGCTGTCAAACAAGGTGCACTAACGATTTCAAGCATTTTAAACAGTTTTTGAACATTTTAATACACACTTAAAATAGCGAAAATGGCCATCGCTAAGCGAAACAGGGGGACCTAAACTGTCATCGTTAAGTGAAGCAAAGTCCCGAACATTGCTATGCGAAATTTCCCCATAGGAAACATCGCTAAACGGAGCGCAAGATCGCTCCAAAAACCTCATCGCTAAGCGAATACATCGTTAAACGAGGCATTCGCTAAACGAGGCACCACTGTATATGTCAAAGTACAGAAAACTTATCAATGAGAACCATGTTGCCTTAGGCAACTGCACATGAGTATTTCCTGGGCTGGCTGTTGTGTACTGGATCTTCCCTAGGTTGTGGAATTGATGGTGCACATTGTCACGCAGCAGGAAGCCTGTAAAAAAGAAAACAGTTACTGTATAGCATATGGGAAGAACCATCCAATATGCTTCTGGTCTCTTTCCCTCCTGTTATTTCCACTGGCCATGCTAGCGAGAGAATTCTGGAAGAAATAGTTGGGGAAAAAAATGAAATTCCCAAGCTTTGGCTTTCCTGATGTTAAAAATGTATGGGTTGATAAGACTTTAAATCAAAACTCTTTCAGAGATTATGTCTCTCCCAATACCTGGGCTTGGGCTGGTTGCCTTTGAAAAGAAAACTTAAATTAGAGATTTTATTCCACTTGCACAGAGAACAATAAACATTTTGATGAAACAGCAGACCATAATCTTGCTAATCTTTTACACAATGCCTTGTTTGACCCAAAAACAATTACATCATTATTTCAAAATTTACCAGAGAAAATTAGTTGACTAAAGGAGACAAAAAAAAGGAGGGGGGAATCAAAAGAAGAACAAAACCATCCTGCCATCTGTGTTGTGTCATGTGACCTTTTGTGAGGGAAAACTGTTGCTCATAATGCTGAAAGACAGTTTTTCAAAAATCTCAACTGAACTTTCCCACCAAAAATTAGACTTCACAGCATTTGCTTTTTGTGTTTCATTGAGGTTAATAATTAGTTAAGGAAGGCTTTCCGGGGGAATCAAAAGAAGAACAAAACCATCCTGCCATCTGTGTTGTGTCATGTGACCTTTTGTGAGGGAAAACTGTTGCTCATAATGCTGAAAGACAGTTTTTCAAAAATCTCAACTGAACTTTCCCACCAAAAATTAGACTTCACAGCATTTGCTTTTTGTGTTTCCTTGAGGTTAATAATTAGTTAAGGAAGGCTTCCCTATATATGCGAAGGCTTTCACGGCCGGGATATAATGGTTGTTCTGGGTATTTCGGGCTCTTTGGCCGTGTTCAGAACATGGCCAAAGAGCCCGAAAAACCCAGAACAACCAGAAGGCTTTCCTGTTGCAATTTTCATATTGGTTTTGGAGAGTTTTGATCCGCGAGACTCTGCATCTCACAGTGATGTCAGGGCTACTGGTTGAGAACTACTGGTTTACAATACAGTCAGTAGGCAAATTGTAGAATGCTTGTTTTTTATTATTACTATACAGCTTTAGGCTACCTTTTTTTCCTCCATTGGCCCCAAAGTTATGTGGAGCTCTGGGAAGACAAGACAGAACCACATTTGGCATATTTTATTGATACCATGTTTTCCTTCTTCCTGTCTGTTTGTATTGTTTTGTGCATCACGTTGCTTCTAGTACTATGAGTGCATAATATCCAGAAAGTTGTGTCATTAACAGCCCTGCTGAGGTCATGCAAACTCAAAACTGTGGCTTCCTTTATTGACTTGAAGCCTCTCATGTTATGTCTTCTTTTTTTCCCACTGCCTTCTCCCTTCCTCCCCCAGCTTTATTATTTCCAGTGAGCTTTATCTTCTCATGAAATGCACAAAGTATGGTAACCTCAGTTTAGTTATTTTAATTTCAAGTGAAAATTCAAACTTGATTTCATCTAGAACCCACATATTGGTCTTTCTGGTGGTCCATGGTATTGGTAAACCTCTCCTCCAGCACTACTTTTCAAATTAGTCTTTTCTCTCCTCTCAGGTTTCTTCCATTGTCCAGCTCTCACATCTGTACACTGTAATTGGAAGTATCATAGTATTAATGATCTTGGACTCGTTAAGTATACAGTATATCCTTATACTCAAGGATCTTTTGTTTATTCACAGTTTATTCACAGCTGCCCTTTGAAGTCTCGTTCTTCTGATTTCTTGACTGCAGTCTCCAGCTTGATTGATGGTTTAAAACCAAAATACGATAACTGTTCATCATAAGCTTTAAAGTTATCTGTACACTTCTGATTTCTTGACTGCAGTCTCCAGTTTGATTGATGGTTTAAAACCAAAATGCGATAACTATTCATCATAAGCTTTAAAGTTATCTGTACTCGTTATTTTTTCCTTCTTAATATTCAACTGTAATCCTGCTTTTTGCACTTTGTATCCAGCAGCTCACAGAACTTATATGTAATTGGGACTGTTCATTCCATCCATAATTTCCTGTAACCTTTATCCAGTCAGGTCACTTTGTTTCAGTAAGATCTGCTTTCCTAGTGTTTGTACATTTTCAGAATTAGCACAACATAAGTGGTTGTGATATGGTTCTGACTGTGCCGATATTTATTGAAATAGACTATGCTATGAATTCCGGAAGGACTTGTACAATGGTGTAATTCTATACTAGTGAGGCTTTTTATTCTGCTAGCACGGTGTTTGGTTTAGTCCCTTGTCTTCCAGGCACCTTTCTGCAACTTCATTTCTCATGTGGTTTCTCCAGGGTAATTGCTTGCTGACCCATGGCACCTTAATTTTGCCCTTCTTTAGGCTGGTGGCTTCCCCATTAATTTTTGCCAAACTCCTATATCTTTTTTTCTTTCAAATGCTTTGAAGTGGCTCTTACACAGTTCTGATAATACAATAAATAAGCTACAAGTAGTGCTTCAGGGACGTGGTCGCGCTGCAGGCTAAACCGCAGAAGCCTTTGCTGCAGGGTCAGAAGACCAAGCAGTCGTAAGATCGAATCCATGCGATGGAGTGAGCTCCCGTTGCTTGTCCCAGCTCCCGCCAACCTAGCGGTTCGAAAGCATGCAAACGCAAGTAGATCAATAGGGACCATCTCGGTGGGAAGGTAACAGCGTTCCGTATCTAAGTCGCACTGGCCATGTGACCACGGAAGATTATCTTCGGACAAAACGCTGGCTCTATGGCTTGGAAACGGGGATGAGCACCGCCCCCTAGAGTCGAACACGACTGGACAAAAATTGTCAAGGGGAACCTTTACCTTTTACCTTTAGTGCGTTGTCTCGTTCCCAAATTCATTCTGAGCTTTATCCCATGTAATATTCCTCTTCCTCTTCTTCTGTGGAAATGTACTCTGGTAGAAAGTGTTCACACAGGCATACTAACTTTGCTGCCAGAACTCATTGTTACCCTATAACTGAGGATAGCAATGATTTAATCACAGGATTGTAAGCAGTGGAATCCTGGAAAGCCAGGTGCTGTTAAGATTCTGTATTTCTACACAATTAACATGGAAAGATTTTGTGTGTGCCCAATTTTTTCCTGTCTTTCTAGCTGACATCCTACTGGAAGCTAAGTAGAGTTTTCACTTAAGTTTTCTTCATATGTATTACCATTTATATTCCAATCTCTATTTGTCTCAAATTTTAGACTTTAATAATAATAATAATAATTTTTTTAAAAGAACTGCAGAGCTGGAAGGGACCCTGTGAATCATCAAGACTTGTGGAGGTTTTTTATTTAGTAAAAATAATGCAGCTCAGGAGACATAGGTTGTCATCATCTGAATCCTTCAAATGACTAACATAAGTATTAGAAGAGCCTGCTTTTTTGTGGTTTTTTTTTAACTTCTTGGTTTAAGCCTTTGGAATCATTACATTGAAGCAATATACATTCCAAGGAAGAACCTGCAAATTTTGCAAAGGAAAAATATGAACAGAAACATTTTCTGTTAATGGTTCCTTCTTCTAAAATCCACATTGAGTTTTACAGTTGCTTTTGATATGAAAAAGATTCACAAATATTTCTTCCTTACCAGCCTTGGAATTGGAAGACATTAATTTATGTTGTAGACAAGTTGGATTCAGGACTATTTCATACATTACAAATCCAGGTTTTTCACTGAATGTACATTCAAACAGATGAACAGAAAGTAATTGTGACAGTCATCCATGCAGTTAGAAATTTCTTCTTTCTTGTTCCTACTTTACATATTTATGAATGTATTTCAAAAGGTGTGAAATGGTTTCTTCACTGTCTAGGACAGGTTATACTATGAAAGGCTAGAATCTCTCTTCTTTGTGCTTACATTTCTTTGTGAGGCTTACAAAGCTGATCATTATGCTGATGATACCTAAAAAGCCAATTTGTGTCTGACTTAAACCCAAGAGCCTCTTACGCAGTCACCAAAGGTCCACTTTGGAATTTATTTGTTTACATTTGGCAGGCTGGAGCCATCTTAAAATAGCCACTTAGATTGGTATTCTAGATGCTTTTTATCCACGGACTGTTGCAGGGCAGCTATATTGTGTCTGAAGAGATGCCAAAGAGGCCATGATCAGTGTCCCAAAAGCCACCATCCATGCCTTGAGTGAATCTTGGTAATTCTTTTATAACTAAGCAGATGACATGCCAGTCTGCCTTGCTTTTCACTTGGTAATAAAACGTGCAGAGTAATTCTGATTTATCAGTTATCCTACACCCATTCAGCCTTCCTGAAATCATCTTGAAACATGCCAACAATCAAAATGCAAATCTCCATAGACATTTTGACAAGATATTATGCTAGGAACATTGAAATTATAGGAACAATATTAATTATAAAACATAATTTCATGTGTTAATATCCAATAATTGTAGCAGCATTTTTGGACATACTCCTGCAGAATAAGTGATGTTCAGAAAAATGTAATTATTACTGTTTTTCTATTCACAGACATATCAAGTTGACTTGAAACCAAATGGATCAGAAGTAATGGTCACAAATGAAAACAAAAGGGAGTATATTGAGTATGTATACATACATATATATATACAGAGAGAGAGAGTTATTTATCTATTTAGTGTAATATTTAACATTCTTGGTGGTAATGGGTAGACTTGTTGAAAGTAGACTTCAGGATGAAATAACCAGAACACACTGCAGAACAAAGCAAATGCAAAACAACATTTGGAATATTTTCTTTTAAAAAGGGCTCATTGCATTAGTTGTTCGTTCTCCGTGAGCAGGTTTATACACATTCTTGTCTTAACTACAATATATCTGCTGACTCAACTGGATTTCCTTCAGTGTTCACTTACCATTCAAAAGTTAAATCAGTCTACTCTTTGTTAGAAGTAACACTTGAATATCGGTCTTCATTTTGTGGTCACCAGTAGGCCACAAGAATATTGGGAACCACTCTCTCAGTCCCTTTAGTGGCAAATTCTGATACTGCAACACGGAAATATATAAAGAAAAAACAAAGAACATTTCCCTACTGCTTTGAATTGGGAGGAGAATAACATAAAATCCAAAAGATTCCTGGTCAAATCCCTCTAAAAATGCCTTAAAATGCCCTTAGAACTAACTTGTAATTACATGTTACTTGTTACACTTATAACTTAAGTGTTAGATGTTGTACTTGAAAAGTAACATAATTACAAGTTATATTATGTATAGATAGTTACAAGTGAATAGGTTGCTTGTAATTACTTACTTTAATGAGCCTCATGGCGCAGTGGTTACACCGCTGTACTGCAGCCAAAACTGTGCTCACGACCTGGGGTTCAATCCCAGGTAGCGGCTCAAGGTTGACTCAGCCTTCTATCCTTCCGAGGTCGGTAAAATTACTACCCAGCTTGCTGGGGGGTGGGGGAATGTGTAACCTGCATAATTAACTTGTAAACCGCCCAGAGAGTGCTTGAAGTGCTATGGGGAGGTATATAAGCAGCACGCTTCGCTTTTTTCAAGCAGCTACTATAAACTCAGATGTCACAGCTCCCTCCTAGTTAGGGTTTGCTCTGGAAGTATCCTTATAGTACGCAAGGGATAAATATTGTGCTCATTTCTTCAGCAAATAAGGAAATTCTTTGTTAGAAAAACATTGACACAAAGGCCATGTATAATGGGAAAATCTGAAATATAAATGGATCATCTCATATTGAAATATACTGATCTGTTCCCTAGTTTCCCAGCTCTGTGCGCCAGGAAAAACTCAGGCTGAAGGAAAAATGTACAGCATCAAAAATAAGAGATTATACATTCATCCAAATCAGTGTACAGTTTTCTGAGTGCTTCCCAGTGGCCATTTCTTCCAAGTAGCTGATGTGCTGCTATAGCTTCAGGAAAAAAAGGCTTTTAAGAGATTTTTTAAAAAATGTAGTAGAAGTTCAGCAGCAGTTTTTAGAGTACAGTGGTGCCTTGCTTAACGAGCGCACCGTATAACACCGAAATCGCATAGCGATGCGGTTTCCGCGATCGCTAATGCGATCGCTTACCGATGGCCCCAATGGGCGAAACTCGCATAGCGAAGATCGGTAAGCGTTTCGCTTACCGACCTTCGCTTTGCGACCCGCGGATCAGCTGTACGGCGGGTCCAAAATGGCCGCCGGAACAGCCGAAATGGCAGCACGCAGCGTTTTCGTGCCCTCCCCTCGCTGACCGAGGGCACGAAAATGGCTGACGGCTATGGGAAGACTTCGCTAAACGGTGAGTTTTCAGCCGATTTCCGTTTAACGAAGTTTTCACATAGCGAAGGTTAATCCGGAACGGATTAACCTCGCTATGCGAGGCACCACTGTAGTTTGTTCACCAGGAACTCCAGGGAGAGAGCGCCTCCTTTTGTGCGAGTGAGGCTTTAAGTGAGCCGGAGGAGGTCAAATGCCAGCTTTCTGTACTTCGGGTGCTTTAAGGTCAAACACTGGACTATTCCAAAATGACAGTTTCCTCCCAAACTTCATAATATTGTGATTTACTATAATCTATTAAATGAAACCAAGAGGCCTGGGCCAGATATTTGTTCTGTAGTGGATCAGGCATGGATGAATCTGTCAGCTTTGCTTTGTAACACATCAACCCTTTCTAAGGAGAAAAAAAAAGGTTTTCCCTCCAATCCCATTATTTTTTTAAAAAAATTCGATTTTTGTATATTTCAACAAGGAACAAACAAAATCATATTATCACTTATGTGTACCAACCAGATGTAACTGCTGGAGTTATCTCCATCTATTCCATGCCTGCTGAAAATGAGAAAATGTTCAGAAAAACGAAGATGGCAACCCTAATTCAGCACTACAAATATGATTGAATACACATGCATTCGAACCTAAACATCTCAGAGTAAAGCAGTTAAAGCTCTCTGTCTGGACAGAAAAATGTGACAGCTTCCCTTTTAACGGAGCAGTTTCTTTGCAACTCACCTATGAATAAATTTGTGTTTTCTAGTGTGCTCATGTTGAAACATGAATTGTTATCCCTACATTATGGTGAACTCACTAGGTAATAACAATCTCCCACTGAAGTCAGTTCAGAGAATTTTGATTATAATGGAGTTTTCAGCTCTGCTTTCTCATTTATAAAATGCAATTAATTAAATCACAGGATTGTTGTGAGGATTTGTATGTGATAAGGACTTTGAAGCATTCAGTACATTTAAAATCTACTGTATTAAATAATCAGTTATAAAAAATAGTTTATCAGTTGTAAAAATTGACCCTAAATGTTTTGACTTTCAAGAATTAAAGGGCCAAACCATAGAAGAATTGCATTTCCCCTAATGTGATTTTAAATGAAAAACAGTCATTGGAGGCTGTACTCAGGAGCAGAGGTAAAGGGGTGGGCATGTTTAGTAGAAAAATTGCAGGTAGAAAAAAGTGTTAAACGCTCAACTCTTTATTCACTGTTTTGTGTTACAGATTACGGCAAATTGCTTTTCATTAAAAACAAAATGGAGTGCATGACATAGAACTCAGTGTAATGTGTAGTTTGGTCGTAACTCTGAAACACAAGTGTGTTGAGCTCCCCAAATCTAGCCAGCCTTTCAACAGAGAGATGAATTGTCTTTAAATACAGTGAAACAAATTATAATCTCCTCAGCAAGCTCCGGACTAATTTCATACTATTCAGTATATTTTAACATGGAAAGATAATCTCTGAAGCACTTTAAAGCATATATGCAAAGCCATTTAAATGTCAAGCCAAAAACCGAAGCAGAGGTCCCTTTGAATTACTCTTTTGTGCTCATCAGTAATTTTTTAAACCATCTCATCTGGTCTCCCAAAGGAAATCTGAGGAATTAATGAAGAGCTGCACATATTCATGAGCTCAGCAGATACTGCAGTTGAATAGGAAAGATTGCATTTGCCTCATTTGTTCTGCTTACGTTTTATCTCAGTTCGATGAAAGATTACTGAAGCTGTAAGTGGGAAGCCATAGAAACATTATCATGGTGAAGACCTTTAAACAATCTCTCTTATTTTTTCTAATGAAAGTGTTTTGTTTTTCTGTTGTGCGTTAGCTTAGTCATCCAGTGGAGGTTTGTCAACAGGGTTCAAAAGCAGATGAACGCATTTATGGAGGTAAGTGACCTCTCTAAGCTGCATGTCGCCTACTGCATCTTCTCTTTGGGGGCTGGGCCACATTTTGCTCTATTTTATTGAAGAATGAAAAAAGCTTCCAAAGTATCCCTGTGGAGCCACATAGGAAACAGTAGGAACAAAGGGTGATCAAATCACAGGCACAAGCCACTCAGCAACACGCTTTTCACCCTCCCGCTTTTAGACGCAGCAGCTTCAAAACAATCCTCCTTTCATTTTTCCTTGTCTCGGTGACAAAATTTGTCTGCAAGAAGAAAATGGAAAGTAGGAAAAGAACAGGGCCAAGAGCATGGTGATGATCCCATCACATACGTACTGCTTGCTCTCTTGGAGGTGAGGGCCAGCATGCCATAGGCAACTTATACTTTTAGAATTTCATTACTATATATGCCTGTTTATATATATATGTTCAAAAATCCAGCGATTGAGCTTTCAAAATCCAGCTACTAAGTTTCTGGTATCACATTTTTTTAGCCACATTGTTTTCTAGTCACGTACATAATGGTAGCATTAAATAGCTGTAGTCGCTTTCTAGTCTTGAAGAAGATGATTTCTTTTCCTCAACTTCAAGCTCTCCATTGCAGGCTGTTGACAATAACCATTGTGACCATACAAAATGATCTTGCACAATTGGCTTTAGCCCAGTTGGTTGGGCCCGCCCTGTATACGCTGCAGGTCGTGATGGTCAGAATGGACTGTACCACTTTAAATGCAGGTGAAGAATGTATTTTATGAATAGTAGTCTATGTGAATTAAACACTCTGGGTTTAAAGAAGTAGCACGCTGGAGGGGAGTAAGGTTGGCATGCATCTGTGCAATTTAAGGGGAGTGGGGTTGCTTCCTAGTAATTTTTAATGCAGGAATGAATTTTTAAAGAAACTTCTACCTGCCGTCTGAAGCAACATGGACCATCCAGCCACTTGACTGCTCTCTGTTCAGTTATTCCATAGAAAGGCAAGGCAGGGCTTGGAAATTAGTATTGAAGCTAATTTACTGATGTGAAGTAAGAAATGGATCTGTTAATGTTCTTTGTTTTACTGAAAATTATAACATTGTTTTATTCCATTGATTATTAATGATACAGTTATTAATAACGGAGTGATAACATGTCACTGAAAAAATTAAAAAAGTCAGTTAAAATGATTTAATATGACAACCCTCAAGTTACCCCCATAATAAATTAAAATTGAGTGAAATATCACCTTGTTAAGCTTACTGGTTTGATTTTAATGGCAGCTTTTTAAATTGTTGGTAACTTTTTTAACAAATTGGAGTAACTAATTTGTAATGAAATATTGGTAAGGCCTCTGTCTGAAAATCAGTAGGACTACATCATGAGACATTATAGATAGGAACAGATAGAGGGAAAGGGGAGTGCTATACCTAATTTCATCTTTACGTTAATTCTAATGTTCCTTTCAGTGATAGGATTTAGTAATATTGCCTTATTCCAGTTGTGTTTACATGTTGTAGCTAAAACAATGAACAGCTCCATGGCACCTAGAAGCTTACAAATGTGATACCCAAATGTATATTAAGTTGACAGTGACGTATATAGATGAGTGAGTGCTGCAGATTAAAGAATGGATAGACTTTATAAAATACATGGGAGAATATATAGTCCAAACCAAATTAGACTTCCTACTGAAATTTCAGATTGATACTGAGTCCTTAGATGTTGGTGGGTTCGGGCACAGGGCAGTTCACATCTACAGATGTTTCATCTTCATGATGTTGAAATGGTAGGATATGGGAATAAAGGCTTGTTGTGATATGAACATGCATGAAACTTACTCCAGACACTGGAATCTGATTCACCAATTTTTGTGTTGCCTGTTCTCTGAATCATCTTCATTTAAAGATGGCTGCTTTAAAAGTTGTCAAATGGATACATAGACGTACAACAAACATTGAAAGTGATGTCATACTGAAGCCAGTACCTGACTGTTTCACTCCCTGGAGGCATTAATTCTCTGATTTTGATGATACAGTGTTTGTTGTGTTCTATTTATCTGCCTTATTTCATTTGTTTCTTTGGGACTTCAATGTTCAGACAGAGGTCAGTCCCTTGGTAAGCCATTCTGATTTTATGGTTGTTATTTTTAAGACTTGGTACTTCTGTATGGGAGTGAAGCTGCCAAAATTTGTGTGATCACGATACAGGTTTTCAGGCTTCCATACTTGTCAATATTTGGACAGTGAGGGTGAGAAACTGCATTTCTGCCTTGATTCCAGTAAGACTACACATGCCCCTCCCAACAACCCCATTGATTATTCTAGAGTGCTCACCTAGCAGCTGAGTTTATTTGATGTAGCCTATTTTTTCACTTTTTCACACAGTACTGAGAAATAAAAACACACGGCAGAGACTTAAAAGGAAGACCATTATATCAATAAGAAGCTATTTGCTGTAACTTTTCTCTGGAGTGATGCATTTCCTCCTAAGTGGGTTTAAGAAAAACATAATTTTTATTGGAAATACACTGGTGTTCATATGAGATGTTTTTCTGCTTTTTCTCTCTCTCTCCTTTCGCCCCTCTCTACCCACACCCACCCCACTTCAGGGCTTCACAGAACTGCTGCCTCTTGATTTAATTAAAATCTTCGATGAAAATGAGCTGGAGGTTAGTTGCTCTTTTATTTCTTCCTATCTTTACTATTGCAAACAGTATCTTTTACAGAACATTTACTCGGCAGCTGACGGACAGTTGTGTTGCATGTAATGCTTCTTGTATAGTACTGTTTTTCAGCATGAGAATCACAATATAGTAAATATATACATTTGTTGGCCATAATCCTATTGTTTGGGGTAGTGTTGTAAGATTTGTGTAACTTGTCATGACTAATTGATAAAATTTGTGATTTGTAAAAAAAAAAGAGGTGGTATATGTATATAGTAAACAATGATAGTAAATAATGTATACTCGGTGTCCCTTGCCCTGAAAAGTTGATAGAAAGTGTGTCTGTGGTGTAGAGTGATACAGACTACAACATTAAGCACCATTTGTCATTATTATTTGTTACAATAAGATCCCACTTTTCTTCTCATGAGCAAAAAAATGGCATATGCTGTTCTTCAGATCCCTTTTTCATCTGCTGAATAACCCTGTGTAGTAGTTCAGGTTAAGAGACTGTGAAATGGCCAACCAGAATTTGAACCCAGATCTCCCACGTTCTAGCACAGTGCTCTAACCATTATACCACACTGGCTTTCTAGCAGGGAGAAAGTCTGTTGAACACAATGAGACTTAACTTTTGAGTTGCCGTGCATAGAAACTTGTTAGTGACATTCTGTATACCATTATTAATTGGTTCCTTCATGTCATCAAAGTGGCTAAAGAAGTATATATGAAATCGTGGTTTTGATGTGTCACATTTTCTAGATCTAAAGCTCCTGTTGTAAGATATAGTGTTGTACGTTTGATGTTTTGCAATAGCCTAAGCAATACGTTACTGAGTTAATAAGCAGTCGTGAAAGAAATACTTCAGGTATATTTTTTAAATTGCCTTAATAAGATTCCTTAACATAACAAGCAGTGTTCTTGGGGTGCTGGAATTTATGAAAACACCACATAGTTGCCAATACAACAGTTGGTTTTGATGCTTCAAAAATCTCATTCATTCACAGTTGCTAATGTGTGGTCTTGGTGATGTTGACGTCAATGACTGGAGACAGCATACGATCTACAAGAATGGGTATTGCCCAAACCATCCTGTCATTCAGTGGTTCTGGAAGGTAACATTTGTCATTCTTGATGATATAACCACTAGGCTTTTTCCCTCATAGGCTTCCTTCTGATTTTGTTCTCTAAAGCAAACACTAACCACTTTGACCACTTCAACAGCTCCTGGATGTCTCAAATCATCCCCTCAGTTACAAGGTGTGATATTTCTATGCAAAATCCCAACATTTTTCACATACCGGTTGCACAAAAATGAAATATCTTCTCCTTATGTTTGGGGAAATGCAACAATTTAAAGGCTTGCTTTGGGTTGTTTGCACCTTTCTTATAGTCGGCCACTCCTGTTGCGCTTGCATTGTGCCCAGGCTTTACTTTTCAAGGGGAAAACTAAAGACCTTGGAAGAAGGGGAGTCCATAAGGAGACCAAAAAAACAATCTAATTCCCCATTAAAGCATCCCGTTGGATCCAGTCAGACAAAACGTAGAAGGAATGTTGTGGACATTCCTCACATCCCTAGGGTAAATCCACAGAGGAATTCATTGAAATGGGAGTTTTCATTGCAATTTTATACACATGTCTGCTACATTAACAGGGTTGGACTGAGATACCCTTAGGGTCCTTGCAGTTCATTGTTGAAAATCAAGTTGCTTAGTGTCAGAAATTTTGTCACTTTCAATCCGTTCCTACCTACGTGCATGCTGGCTTGGTGAGTGTGCTTGACCCCCACTGTCACCCCAAGAATTGTGCCTAGAAGCTCATTATCTGGAATGGACTGAAAGTTACATTTTTTTTTATACAAACAACGGGATTTCAGCTTACAATTCAGTGATACTCCGTGCAGTACCAGAGGCAATTATGCTTCTGCCTATCCTGTAACATATATTAGACAGGGTCTGTTGCCATTATGTCCTGCTGATGGGCTTACTGAAGTCACTTGGTTAACAACTGGAAGAACCTAATATTAAACTAGATAGACCTTCGGGACTGAGTTGCAGGGCATTTCTAATCCGCTTACATGAGAAGATCTTTATGTAGGTTAAAAGGTCTTGTCTGTTTCTCAGATTGCAGTTTCAGTTGTAAAATCCTATTGTACGATCAGGTTCTTTGCTTTGCCTGTGGGTGTGAGAGACATATCTATCTATCAAAGCATCTGTGAGCTTCTGTAACCCTTTTTTTAAAAACAGGCTGTTCTATTGATGGATGCTGAGAAACGTATCCGACTACTGCAGTTTGTAACTGGGACATCACGAGTGCCTATGAATGGATTTGCTGAACTTTATGGTGAGTTTATCTTGACAGGTCATCTCACTGGGTCGTAATGTTTTTGATTCTTTTTGATCAGGTAATTTGCAGTGTGCATTCTTTTAAAAAAATGAAAAGGTGTATCTCCTTAATATACCCTCCTCCTATCTCATGGCGCGCAACAGCTTCCTCATGACAAAGACGATGCCATGGGAGCCTCTAGACCAGAAAACTCCCAGAAGCCTTCACTACTCACTGTGTTGGCCAAGATTTCTGGTAGTTGTAGTCCATGCACATATAGAGAATCAAGATTGGGAACCACTCGCTTTAGACCTTCAGGAGGTGGGGCGGAGGAAAAGGAACTTTTTTTCTTTCCAAAAAATCACAGCAGATTTGTGATATAACTTACAAAATGAAACTTCAGTCATTGTTTATAAGGAGTATATTAAAAGGAGTTTTTCCATTCATGAGTTTTTATTGTTGATCCAGGTTCAAATGGTCCTCAGCTGTTTACAATAGAGCAATGGGGAAGCCCTGAAAAACTACCCAGAGCTCACACATGGTAAGTAACAGACACTAAATGTAATTTTATTTACACTAACTTTACAGTGGTGCCCCGCATAGCGAGGTTAATCCGTTCCGGATTAACCTTCGCTATGGGAAAACATCGTAAAACGGATCCAAAAAACCCATTGGAACTCATTAAACAAAGTTTAATGCGTTCCAAATGGGCCCAAAACTCACTGTTCTCCGATGTTTTCCCTTGTTCCGGCAGCCATCTTGGGTTTACCAGCGGCCATTTTGAGCGTCCCGGCTGCCATCTTGGGTGTACCGGTGCCCATTTTTTGTGTTCTGGTGGCCATCTTGGTTGTACCGGCGGCCATTTTGAGAGTCCCGGCGTCCATCTTGAGTGTACCGGCACCCATCTTTTCCATTCATGAGTTTTTATTGTTGATCCAGGTTCAAATGGTCCTCAGCTGTTTACAATAGAGCAATGGGGAAGCCCTGAAAAACTACCCAGAGCTCATACATGGTAAGTAACAGACACTAAATGTAATTTTATTTACACTAACTTTACAGTGGTGCCCCGCATAGCGAGGTTAATCCGTTCCGGATTAACCTTCGCTATGGGAAAACATCGTAAAACGGATCCAAAAAACCCATTGGAACTCATTAAACAAAGTTTAATGCGTTCCAAATGGGCCCAAAACTCACTGTTCTCCGATGTTTTCCCTTGTTCCGGCAGCCATCTTGGGTTTACCAGCGGCCCTTTTGAGCGTCCCGGCTGCCATCTTGGGTGTACCGGTGCCCATTTTTTGTGTTCTGGTGGCCATCTTGGTTGTACCGGCGGCCATTTTGAGAGTCCCGGCGTCCATCTTGAGTGCACCGGCACCCATCTTTTGTGTTCCGGTGGCCATTTTGGAACCGCTGAACAGCTGTTCCCCCATCGTAATGCGAGCATGCCCTTGCATTAGCGATGGGGAAATCCGCATCGCAATGCGGATTCATCGTTCAACGGTGCACTCGTTATATGAGGCACCACTGTACTTACTGTGATTAAATTGGACATTAACTCAATAAGAAGCTTCTTTCAGCTGCTGCTGTTTTCTTTAAAGTTAACATATACAAGGCCAGTAGTAGACTTCTGACCAATTCCAGTCTTATTCTTCAGGGGTGCTGGGGCTTCTGATGAGCCCACAGCCTCTGAATTCGCCGACTTTGCCCACTCGGCTTTAGGCCCTGGGACATTCTGAAAGAGTTTAAAATATGAGGTTGTGTGGTGGCTTTGTGTGAGCAACAAACAATTCAATTTACGCAAAGCAGGGTACAACCAGTTGCCTTTACCCAGGTTCACATCCTCTGAAAGGGAACTTCTGAGCCTTAGGAGATCCTAGGATATAACACAGAGCGCTATTGTTGAACATGTTGGTGAGAAATCTGTGCTCCGCTTCGAAGAGCCACAAATGTTTTCTGCAGGTGGAAGGGCCACCATTGGAAACAGTGCTATTGAGTGTTCAGAAGTCTACAGAAATAATCTGTCTGATCCTAACACCTTGCAAGCGAGGGAGAAGGCATTCAGTGTTGTGGCATGCTTTGCTCCTCTTCTTTTCCCTTCTTCAGTTCACAGTCCACCCCATGAGTTGAAGTACAGTCTGAATGGACATATTGAAACCTTAGACATTTTTAATTTACATAGTTTCTTCAGCTCCTGGACTTGTGTGTTGCATACACAACATGCTTCACTTTGCAATACAAAAAAAGAAATGTGTTCCGTTCTTCCTGACAGCATCAGGATGTACCCAAGTCCAGTCCTTGATTTGCACCTGCATAAGGGAAGTTGCATAAGTTTTGGAAGCTAATTGCTGTATATTAATAAGATGCTGGTTTCATTCCTCGATCTGCTCTGAATCACACATCAGATGTATTTCTAGGAACCCATCAGGTACCTTATTAATGAGTGGCAATTTGCTTCCAAGACATAATGCAGCCTCCCTTATGCAGGCATAAATCAGCTGTAGGATTCTGGCTATTTAGTTATGGTGCATACCCCATAATAACTTCCAGCTATCATTATATTCCTTTCGATTTACATTTTAATTACTTCTTTAAAAAATCTGTATAATGCAAGGCACTGGCCTCTCGCCATTTTTCTGCCCCACCTCATCACAGGCAGTGCCCACAACAGAGCACCAGAACAGTATGATATTCCTTCTCTACATCATCTTTGTAACTATAAAAATAATTATAAAGTACAGTTACCATGCAAAAGGAATTACAATATTTCTCATCAGGTTACATAAGTAATATAGTTACTAGTAATTGGGTACAGGTATTAATTACAAACAGCAAGTTATTTGTAATTATGTATTCGCGAAGGCTTTCACGGCCGGGATCTAATGGTTGTTGTGGGTTTTTCGGGCTCTTTGGCCATGTTCTGAAGGTTGTTCTTCCCAATGTTTCGCCAGTTTCTGTGGCTGGCATCTTCAGAGGACAGCACTCTGTGCTCTGGTGTAGTTGGATTGGGGATGCAGTATTCATGGCTGTGAGATAGGCTTTTGTCTTTTTCTGTGGATGGGTAATTAGGGTGTCTTGTTGTGGGTGTATTGTTGTGCTAAGGAGAAGAGATTATCTGTCACTGAGGTTGATGGGTGTCATTAGCTGGTCTTTTGTGTGTAGTGATCCCCTGTCCTTGTGGCTGGGGAGAGTTCATTGATTTTTTGCACGCTGTATTTTTGAGAGCTGGGAGCCAAGTTTTGTTGAGCTTTACCTTTGGCAGGAGCTGGGACAAAGAGGAAAGTGTGAAGTGTGAAAAACCACAACAACTATTTGTAATTAGTTACTCCCAAGTTCTCAGACTTTTAAAAGGTACCTTTAAAATGAGTGTGGGCAAAATTTGGCTCCCAGACATGGTTGGACCTCAGCACCTAAGGACCTCAGCATTACCCGCAATTGCCACAGTGAGGAACATGAGACGGTGCAGTCTAAGAGCATTGAGAGGACTAGGTGTTGTATTCCTCTTCTTCTGTGCTCCACAATGATAGATCCCAAGTGACTTTACAGTGCAAAGAATGTGAACAGATTTGCAATTAACCCTGTTCTGTGGTCATTTACCCATTCTCCCTCCTTCTGTTTCAGCTTTAATCGCCTTGACTTACCTCCATATGAATCTTTTGAAGAACTGCGAGAGAAGCTCCTTATGGCTGTTGAAAACGCTCAAGGGTTCGAAGGAGTGGATTAAGGAGGCCCCTGTTCCAGATCATCACTATTCTTATCAATACTCTGAAAACAAAGATTCTGTTCACGGAGCAAGTTCTGTGTGCACTTTTCAGTTTGCCTAATAGACATTTACAAGAGGCAGTGGCAGAATACGATTGCACATGTGGTTGGTTCATGGAGCAAACTCTTATACAGTGCAGATATCTAAATCCAGTGGCTGGAAGTAACTTTTTTCTCTCACCTGTGGATAGTATTTCTGAAATTTCCACGGCTAATTACCAACTGGTTGATGTGTACTCTTGACTACATTTCAGCAGGACTTAATTCTATTTATGTTGTGCCTCTGTAGGCAAAAGCCCTTAATAAATGTTTTACACACTTTCTAATGACAATGAATGGAACTAATCATTTTACAGGTATAGTATTACAGCTCAATGTTTACTTTTTAAAAATGATTCAGATATTTTCAAATTTTATTTCATTACAATTAAACATGAAAAAAATCATCTACTGGAAAAAATCAATTATTTCCTTTCCCTATTATTTTTGCCTTGATTTGATGCTGGTGGCATTCTATTATTAAAAGTCCCTGTTGTTTTTTTAATTGATTTCAGCCTTATGCTCTTGATCTTTTACAATCCTAGGAGCACCCTTTTGTAAGAAATTTTCTGCAGATTGGAAGTATTATCAGAAAATACCTAATGCCTTTTAATCATCTGTATTGAGCTTTCACGGACAACAAAGAAAAAAAACAATTAGTGATTTGGGATGTACAGTATTTTATACAAATCCACAGAGTATTTACAAAAGGATCATAATACAGCATGCCCGATTTCTCATTCAATAAAGAAATTGCCTCACTATTCCTTAATAATATTTATATATGTATTATAGCTCTCTTGGTGATGGGATTGGCATTATTGTCCTGGGGGGTGGAATGCTTAATCCTTTTGCTTACCTTTGTATTGTGACCATTCTACTAATTCTCTCCTTGCGACAGAGGTATTTTGAAGGACCCTTGACACTGCTCGGTTTGGCCGTTGTACAGACCAGATCCATTTTATCTCCTGTCTGTATGCATTTGCTAATCGTATCTAAATGATTGGGACAACTCCCCTCCCCCCATTTTAACTGCACCGATTCTAGAAGCACTTTATGTACCACACGAAGCTTGTGCGCTTTAGAAAACATACAAACATGAACATTAATGTGGAGAGATGCCTTTCTTTTTACCCATGTCTTTTTGGTGCGATACCTGTCTGTTGTGAATTTGGCAGTGGCTGACAAAGTAAAGCAAGCATACCTAATTGAGTTGAACCTGCAACTTGTATTTTGTGGGTTTGGTGGGTTCCTTCCCCAGGCCAAGATTTATTGAATATATGCAGTTCTAGCCACATTTGTAACCTATGACATGTTGCATGACCAGACAGTAACGCGCAACTTGTAACTGTTACGTAATAGATTAAAAAGGAAATTGCAGATGAGATCCAGGTGAATAGGAATTGTGGAGAACTGGTTTGGCAACTCTGAAAGCTGATTTAATTCAGTTGACCGTGACTTGGGCTGTTTAAGGTAAATTCAGCAAATGAGTCACGATCCAAGTAAGGCTGCCGTCTTAAACATGCCTGCTAGGGAATAAGATCTATTCAATATAGTGGGCTTACACTCTGCATAAACATAAACCTAAATACAGTGGTGCCTCGCTTAATGGGTGCCCCGTTTAACGACGAATCCGCATAGCGAAGAATTTTTTTGCAATTGTTTTGCGATCGCATTGCGATGTTTTTAGAACAGCTGATCGGCGGTTCCAAAATGGCCGCCCGCTGTGTTTTCGCGCCCATTCCTCGCTTACCAGGCAGCAAAAATGGTGGCCGTATGGAGGATTTTCGCATAACGGTGAGTTTTTTGCCCATAGGAACACATTAATCGTGTTTTAATGCATTCCTATGGGCTTTTTTGTTTCGTATTGCGACGATTCCACGTAGCAACTATTTTTCTGGAACAGATTGTCGCTATGCGGGGCACCACTGTATTTTCTCAGGCAAAGTTCACCCCAGTAATTTTCTGATGGGTAGACCTGTTGGTTTACTGGCTGTTGCAGCAAAACCCAACAAAATGTCTTGTGAAGCCTTAAAGACTAACAAGGTGCATATGAAGAAGGGGGCTACAAAAGCTTGTACCTTATAAAATTTGTCAGCCTTAAAGGGCTACAGGATTCTTTGTTATGTACATTTGATTTCTCATAAGTATTCTGTTTCATTTACAGCTCCCACTTTCCACGCTAAAAGCATGATAGACAAAATGTTTTTAGGGGCTTTATTTTTAAGTTTTATTGTTTTTGGTCTGTTCCTCTCATGGTTATGAAATGTAGGTACCATCACTATTAGGGACCAGGAAGTTTTAAATCTGAGCTCTTTTTCTTAATGATTCTACGCAACAAATTGATGAAAAGATAAATGAAATTATTTCTAACTCCATTTGAGGATTCAAACCTAATAAGGCCAAACTGGAAATAAAACCAAGAATCAGTAATTGGCACCACAATTACCATGTCACTGCTGATTAAAGACTTGCATTTACTGATACTTTGGGAGCAGGTTGTCAGTATAGAGGGAAGTCTCTCTGTTATGTAGTGAGTGTTCATGGCAGATTACTCCTTGGGAAGTATCATTCCTCTGTCCTCCTTATAATTTAAATTGCTCTCAGCTTGGATCCTATTTTATAGAGATTTGAGGACAGTGTGACCTTGAACCATGAGTTCCAATTTTGTCACCTTAATATTTTATCAGTTCAGAGTGCCTTCCTTCTGTGATTCCTCCCAGTCTCTGTATGAACCACGCATGTGGTAGAGATGCTGCTGGGACCGACAACAACAAACCTCTTAAGATAAAATAGATTGTGAGACTAAAAGATGGTGTCATGAAATCAAAGTAGCTGTAGCATATGTTCTTCTTCGTGGCCTCTGTGAATCACACCCTGGGTGATTCGCTCCTGCACGGAGCCTCATTGGAAGATTATAGAGCTTCTGCGGTAGGAATGAACACATTAGAATAGGCCCCTCCCCACACGGTAAAGTACCTTGGTGCCAAGCGTCCCCTTTCAGTTTCTTTCAACTGCCTCATTGAGAGCCTCATAATTCTGCCCACCTTTATTGAATCCCTGCCAGAGGATAAAAAGATACTAGCTCAAACCTTCCAACAAGAAGGTCTCTCCATTGCTAAACAACAGATGCTTTCCACCCACCACACTGTAGACACTACAGACAAGTCCATGGCCACTTCAGTAGCCCTATGCCGTTTTTCCTGGCTCAGAACGGTCGACTTAGCCAAAGATGCTCGGGCACGTATTGAAGACCTCCCCTTCGATGGAGCAGGTCTTTTTCATGCTGAAACTGACCATATACTGTACTAGAGAACATACAAAAGAAACGTTCAGCAGCTAGGCATTGGGGAGTTTACCCTTCCTACCAGCAATGTCTTCAGCAAAATCAATAGAAACAGCCCAGAGGTTGTTGGTACCAGAGGTTCCAATGAGACCCTCCACGACAAAGCTCTTACAATCCATACTTCAAAAACCAAAGAGCCAAACCCCGGCAACAGCTTACCAGTAGGCGGAATGACCGGAAACCCAAACACCATGTTTGACGTTCCTCTGACCAAGATTGCCACCTACCCCACCAACCCTGCCCTCTGGAAACACCTGCATAGGGATCCCCCACCACAGATTCCTGGGTACTCTCCATCATCAAAAACGGCTACCACATCCACTTCTTCAAACTTCTTCCGACAACACACGTCATTACTCCTCTGTCAGAACCCCTACAAGAAGAAATAATGAATTCACCTCTCAAAGATGCCGTACAACCCATCTATCATAACAACACCGAGCTTTTCTCTTGCTATTTCACCGTCCCCAAGAAAGACGGGTCTTTGCCCTATTCTAGATTTAAGATTATTAAACAACTACATTGTCACCACAAAATTCCTCATGGTTACTCTAGAATCGGTTCTTCCCTTTGAAAAAATGACTGGCTCACCGTCATAGACCTAAGAGATGCTTACTTTCATATTGCAATACATCCCACACACAGAAAATTCCTTCATTTCTAACTTGGATCACAAGCATAAAAATTCAAAAGACTCCCATTCAGCCTTGCAACAGCTCTGAGAGTGTTCACCAAGCTGCCTACCTCAGACTTCTAAAACATTCTAATCTTTCCATATATCGACTACTTGCTGCTTGTAGCACACTCCTGTCACAAAGCTTGACAAGACACCCATTTCACCCTCACCCTTCTTCGCGATCTTGGTCTAACGATCAACGAACAAAAATCAACATTAAAACCTACAAGGACTATACTACATTACATAAGCACGCTCATAGACTCCACATGAGCTTGTGCATTCCTCCCTGCAGAAAAGAGTGGTATAAATATACCAGATGGGCAGGATATAAATCAAATAAATAAATAAATAAATATAAATAGACAAAATCTCTTCACCTTACTTCGCGCCTTCACTCCACATGCCTTGATACCTGACTTAACAGTGCAATGAGTTCTAGGCACCATGGGCTCTATGACGTCAGTTGTACAGCATGTGTGTCTCAAAATGAGATCTCCCCAATCCTCGTTTCTGGACCTATTTGATCCACTATCAGATTCTCCCCACACTCTCCTAAGAGTCACTCCAGAATCAGCCTCTCAACTTCAATGGTTACATTCCCATATCAACCTTTCTATTGGGCGACTGTTCCAACAACCTCGCCCGCGAATACAAGTTATTACCTACGCCAGTCGCACTGGCTGGGGGGCTCATTGCAAATCCCTCACAGATCACACCAAATGGTCTCACAGAGAAAATTGCTTCACATGAATGTGTTGGAGCTACTAGCCGCCATAAAGGCCTGCAAGGCTTTCAGAAACCTTTTTGTAGGAAAAATGGTACAGATCGCCACTGACAACACCACGGCAATGTACTGCATCCTAAAACAAGGTGTCACCCACTTCCCAGGTCTCCTCTACCTAGCGGTCGACCACTGGGAGTGGTGTCTGCAACATCACATCTGTCTCAGCCTTACATATCGCTGGTCAAGACAACGACCTAGCAGACTCGCTCTGCCGTACAGATGCCCAAGCTCATGAGTGGGAACTAAATCAGTATTCCACCAACTATGCCGGAAATGGGGCACACCAACTTTTGATCTCTTTGCCTTCCGAGCGAATCAGAAATGTCAACTGTATTGCTCCCGAACAGGAATAGGAAAACATTCCCAGGGAGACACGTTTGTTGGCCATTAGCCCAAGACCTACCTTTTTCCACCATTCCCTCTCCTCCACAAAGTTGTC